ACCATAAAAATTGCACAACAAATGAATAATGATTACACATTCGGTCAAGTCAAAACATGCCAAATTTGACGATTCTATAATGTCTGATTAAGAAAAAAAATTGCTGACATATTTTACTATACATAAAAAAAGGTCTATCAGTATTGGCGATTATATTTGCCCCATATTGTAAATAATAACTATATAAAAAAAACTATTATTTTTGCAATACTCAATTATCACTACAGCTTTCGTATATAGGTGTAAGGCTAAGAGCTTTCGTATATAGGGTAATCTGATATTCGTAAATATGTTTATGCCCTCACAATGCGTCAACACCTTTTTCCCTCAATGCAATGCAATCTTCAGGTCAATGTAGTACAATGAACGATTATAAATGTAATAAAAATTCCTTTACAGTATTTTATAATTTGTTTAAAAGAAATACGACTCGTTTTTGCATGTGTTAATAGACATTGTTATGTTTAGGTATTATGTACATGGACTGTCGCCTTTACTTCCAATCGGTTTAATGCAGGACTACTTAAATGATTCAGCTAACGGATAACGATAGTATTTTCACATACATTGATCTTAATATGCATCTAAGCCAATTTAAAATATTGTTAAAAAGTGAACCGAAATCTACATACGATCTACGCTGCGCTTTTCCCTGAAACTACTTAAAATATATATAATAAACTACTCAATGACATAAATTGTCGAAACAAGTTAATATGCGATGAATTTAGACCTCTATCTAAACTTTAACCGTCGCGTCGTCTTAAATCTAAAACTGCTAATATTTAATTTTTAAACGATGAAACCTATATACCTTGAAGACAACATCGCAATAAAAGAAAGTGATAATCACGAAAAGCGTTCACATTTATTTACAAAAACATAACAGTCGGCATTTTAATTATCAAACTTAACAGACTATCAAATATGACTCAAAAATACGAGCGCAATAATTTTCTGTTTTTTTTATGTAAAGCCAGTACTATTGGCAATTCGTAAAAACATTAGTTTACCAATTTTTGTATAGAATCATTGATTCATTCTTTGTTCGCACTAATAGAAGCCTATGTTTGTCACAGACCCAGTACTTTTACATCTATCTAAACACAAATAGAGCCATATTCTGTGCTAGTTATCGTTTATGTAGTAAAATGAATAAAACCGAAGCATGTCGTTATTAGCTACAGTTAAAGCGTCATTGAGCAAATGAGCAATTGTTTCCAACCGAGCAAATGACAAGCTTCAAGGATGGAAAATTGAACTCATTATTAAAGCGATCACGTCTCTATACAAATAAAGTTGTATAACTCGGAAACTTGTTTAACTAAAACGTGCTTCTATAGCTGAGTGTGTGACATACATTTATTGAAGTACTAGGTTAAAACAAAATTGAAAATTACAAACCATCGGTTTAAGCGCTAATTAACGACGCAACGGTGCAAATTTTAGATTTTTCATACAATTAAGTTAATATCCTTTCTATGGGATTTTAATTTGCTATTGCAATTTCCAATCCTAATTATTTGATATCTCAATCATTCAGATCGGTCCGTAGACGAAGGAGCTATGCTTTTTTGTGTGTTCAAAAAGTTCATGTTGAATTGTAAAGCGGAAAAAACGCTTAATGATATGAATGAGATAAGAATAAAACGGTAAGACTGAATTTCTACATCCTACCTGAAACACTTGGGAACAAGCCCTTTTTTTAAAAAGTCCTAGAGAGCCGAGCTAGATTTGAGAGCGTATTTTTTGCAGAAACGATGGGCTCAAATCGATCAGAAACAGATCCAGTCTGCCATTTGACCTTAAACGTGTGTCACATGACAATAAAACCTATCGGAATCTAGGTTCCACTTACTTGCCTACAAATTTTATTTCTTGAAAATATAAAATAGAAATATGTATGCCAAGTGCACTTAAATACGTTTGCTACTTAATAAACACGAACACGTTACAATGTTTTTACGGTAAATTGCAGTACTGGGTAATATAGTAATATCCGCTAGTTTTTACATCAAGTAATTAAACTGTTAGGTTCTATACGTAGTTTCATTCGTGTGACATATTGTAGGTAGTATAATTTTTGTATATTTGTGAGGGAAAGAAGAGACTTGTAGTAATTTATATCGTCACGTTAATACCTATATGTATCTGTTTAGCAGCTAACTAGGGCTCACCTAACACCTGTTTTCCAGAGCCTGTTGCCCAAGTAGTAAACGTCATGCTGTTTTTCAGTTACAAAAAAAAAAACATTTCTAAAGAATTATATTATGTCTAATGAATTGGAGTAGACTGAGGATTTCAAAGTTGAATAAAACTAGTCTCAAAAGCGGGTCATTGTTCGCGACGTGTCGCCGTCGCACGCGCATTGTCCTTGCCGGTCTGATGCTTTGTCACCTGATCCCGTCATTACCTGTTGCTAAGTACGTAGAATTGTATATACTCGTTTTACCTGGCTTTGCATTTGTATAACACAAGGTAGTGCAGGGCCGTAAAACGCACACCCTTTCCGACGACGCCTTTTGCTGAATCGGAAACTTTTGCTCATTATCGTCCACAGAAATAGACTAAACCAATAGAAATTACTTATAGAACTCTTCATAGTTCGATAATTTCCTAGATATATTTAATCTGAAACTACGTACTTCAAATTGAAATATATGTGTTGCTTGTACAGTCTCTTCATTATATTTAATGGAATAAAGTCATTGTAAAATATCTATCCTATATTTTGTAACACAAAACCGGAAAGAAAGGTATTTTTCACTTTCAATAATTGTGCACACTCATTTTAGTAAATCCTAGCTCGCACGGTGACGGAAGTGGGAACTCGGAAGCTATTGAAATAAGATCCGGTGCCGAGTGCTCTGGATAAAGTCTCTTTGGAGGAAGAAGTTCGTTTTCACTTGATCCTGTGGAGATTATCTTGTAATCTGAAACGCTATTTAAACTTATACGTCCTGCATATAAAGCACAGAATTTAACAATAAAAGGCTTGCAGGATTTTAATGCACTAACAATACCTTTAATTAAATAATAATATCTTGTCGGACTGTCGTTAGCCGCACATTCCATATGTTTTGGTATAGGCAAATAATTGTTTATTCTTAACTATATTTTTGGGACTATATTTTCAATAAATAAATGATATCAAATTTATGTAATAAGCCTAAAGAATGATTATCGACTTGGCCACTTTTTCTTCAGAAAGGCTAATGTTATTTAGTCAAGTACATTTTCTGTTAGAAAATAACCGCGTTGTTATAGAATATTTATGAAAAGCCCTAAAGGTGTTCTAAGCCTTAATATTATGATGTAGTGCGGCGCGTGATTTCATTGCACGTGCTCCTTTCGCCTCCGCAACCTTAATCACCCTGGTAATATTAGTTATTGTAGCCATTATTGTATCTATACAGCCGTTTCTGATTTCTAAATTATATAAGCCGTAAATGCGGCTATTGATGGCACATTAGGCTTATAGTGAAACTGAAATTTGTTTACATTCGTTGCACTCTATCGTAGAAACATTAAATTCTATTTCGTTAATTTATAAAATGATCATGAAGTCTCAACCCAAATCTCAGCTCGGTTTATGTCCCATGGCTTAACAATTTTCTTTGACATAGGTTGTTTTTTTGCAGAGGGTGGCGGGTTTGTGGGACCCTGAGTCGCGGCGGGGGGCGGCGGCCGGCAGGTGACCGGCGGAGTCCGCGGCTCATGTGGGCGGCTAGCGCGTGCTGCTCGCGCCAGGCAGGTGTGTATCACTTCTGCTCTACGTTTTACGCCTTTAAAAACCTTTTCTTTCTTTTTTGATATTTATTTTTAGGTTAGAACTACAATCCAATAATACTATCACATTTACTATATTTTATTATGGTTAAATCCAATTCATTTTCTGGTAAGAGTAAAAATAAGTATTTAATAATTGCTTTAGTTGTAATTAGGATAAAAATTAATATAGCGAAAGCAAAACATACAGAAACATACTTGTTGGCTTTCCTAATTTTAGCGGTTTTTACTAATCTTTAAATAGAACCATATGTGTGCCGTACATAGTGTAGAATTACATAACTGGTTGCTACGCGGACGTGGTAAATGTCCAGAGACTTCAATTGGATGCAAGCTGCAACTCGATGACATCACGGTTAACTGATTCTATTTGTAGCAAATGCGTTCTCCCGAGTGTATTAAAAATAATTTAAATTTAACCAATACTCGAAAATATTCATAGATTTTATTATTGGATTGGATGTGAATAGTGAATAAATTCATCAAAATACGTTTTAGATTTTTTAAAGCCTTATCCAGTAATAATTTTATATTTTTTATTTTCCATTTGTTTGGCTTCATTGGTTACGCTACTAAAAGTATTTATGTTCTACCTTTTTGATCCAGTTTCTTTTTAAATAAATATCAGTTTTAAAGGTTTTCTATCTCAACAGGTTATATAATAATTTAATTGTTGTTTATTTAATTTAATGATTATTTTGTTTTAATTATTGTTTCATCGCATGAGTGCTTACTTGGGGGTCCCGCGTACTATATCTTTGTCATTAGACCGCAATCGACATTGACTTATGCCATATATTTTGTTATCAATGGTTGACAGTTAAAACTTCATTGGACTCATATGTGGAAATCCATTTTGGCAATCAAGTAAAATTTATTTTATTTTAATCATAAGATACAAAATGTAAAATAGAGACATATAAAAATATTTCGTTTTCCAAAAAATAACTCGTATAAAATGGCGTATTTATATGACGTGACTTCATAAATATTGTAAACTGAACCAACATTAAAAAGTGATTAAGCGGTACTGCGCTTTAAAGTCTGTAAATTATGAGATATTCTCCTCAAACCTCTAGCAATTTAGCCTCTAGCCAGATAATATGTTTTTGAAAACATATATATAGCATAAAACAGTGTCAATAGCGGAGGCTTAGTACGGCGGGGCGGGCGCGTCTCTGACGGGTCTTGTTAATCAGTAGCAGGCACTCATGCGTGACGTGGTGACTAACCGTGGCGGGGTGGCAGGCGACGGGGCCAGCGCGACGCGCGCGCCCGTCAAGACCTTCCAGGCGTACCTGCCGCCGGCGCACCGCACTTACAGCTGCATACACTGCCGCGCGCATCTCGCCAGCCATGACGAGCTCATATCCAAGGTGGGATAGTCAGTAGATATTTTAATATATATAAATTACGTGTCACGTTGTTTGTCCGCTATGGACTCCTAAACTACCGAACCGATATCAATCAAATTTGCACACCGTGTGCAGTTTGATCTAACTTAAAAGATAGGATAGCTTACATCTTAATTTATACCCGCAATATTATTTTATTGCAAAGTATTTGTTTATTATTTTATAGTCACAATTCTAACAGATGGCGCTGTGTTGAAAGTACATACCAACGTTTCACATAAGCTACAATTTAAACCCATAACCACCAATAAAGGATGGTGGTCCCCATGACTGGTGTTCTCCTACTGTTTCCCTTGAATAGTTTACTACTATGTAATATAACAAAAACCTTAGCCACAGCAACGCTTGTCCGGTCTGCTAGTCTTAATATATATATTTCTTGTGTGCGTGTGTATGTGACTGAACTTCTCTCAAACGACTGGACCGATTTTGATGAAATTTTTTGTGTGTGTTCAAGGGGATCTGGGAATGGTTTAGATTCACAAATCAGCCCGCAGATGGCACTGCAGTCGGTACTTTCATACTTTGCTTAATATCCTAATCGCTTTAAATATCATGCAGGACAACGTCTGTGGGGTCCACTAGTTATACATATATATTTCTCATTTATTACTCCAACACAGCATTCAGCCTAAACGTCTTAATCAATCCTTAGCATATGCCCTCAAAACAATGTAAAGTAACTTAAATGGGTATATTCGACCAATAATACAAATTCCCCTATTGTTTCACTAAAAAAATTACTAGAAAAAAAATTAGACTAATTAGGTGAATCAAGCGTTTGTCGAAATGAGTTGAATTTTAAAAACAAAAAAATACAAGAACGGCTTTTATAGAAAATATATTGAGTTTAAATAATTCTGTTGTACTCGTAAAACAACATTCATATTCTGTAATCATCAACTTAATGAATTTATTGACAACAGAAAGTCTGGTGAAACAAAGGATGCTTACAGTTTACTGACCCATTTTTCAATACTTAACTGTATTAAATGTCCTGGAACTCGTAAAATATAGAATTACCTCTATTTTTCAGTCGTTCCAAGGCAGCCAGGGGCGTGCATATCTCTTCAATTCTGTGTAAGTATTCAATTCTAAAAGTTGTTTATTTATTATGGTATCTCATAATAAAGTATGGGTTTACGAAAACTACCTTACTGATGTTTTCTGTTTTTACAAGATTTATTGAATAAATAATGCATAATTTAACTACCCTTAATTATCAAGTTAGAACTATCTACATTTCCTACCTAACTACGTAAAATGCGTAAGTCATACACCAACGCAATCTTCTGTGTACCGCGTAAGGCGTAGGCGTTAAGTAAAGGTTGGTGAATTAACCGTGAAAGGTTAAATTAGAAAGGGTTCAAAAGAATGATATTCTTAAAACTTAAAAGGAAAATAAATTCCGATTTTCGGAATATTCACAACAATTTAGAATTTACAAAAAAGCAGCAGATTCCAAGTATTCCAGCCATATTTATCTATTTGGTAGAAACTTCAAACATATTTTTTAACTCAACTGGATTGAAATAGGAAAGTCACGTACTTGATTCATTTCAAATGAACTTTGAAAGGTAAAATACATAAATTATAAATTGCCTTTAACACATATATCTTTGGTAATACTAGATTTTTCTCAAGGTAAATTTTTAATTCCAGGGTAAACGTTGGGTGCGGGCCGGCAGAGGAGCGTGTGTTGCTGACGGGGCTTCACGCAGTTGCTGATATTTACTGCGAGTGCTGCAAAACCATGCTCGGCTGGAAATATGTAAGTTGCATAATAGGCAGGTTACCTGTAAAGCGGCATTTGACAATATTCTTTAAATGAAAGGGAGGGGAGAAAAGAAAAAAAAAAAAAAAAAAAAAAAAAAAAAAGGAAAAAAAAAAAAGAAAAAAAAAAAAAAAAAAAAAAAAAAAAAAAAAAAAAAAAAAAAAAAAGAAGAAAAAGGGGAAAAAGGGGGGGGGGGGGGGGGGGGGGGGGGGGGGGGGGGGGGGGGGCGGGCCCGGGGCGGGGGGGGGGGGGCCCCCCCCCCCCCCCGGGCGGGGGGGGGGGGGGGGGGGGCCCCCGGCGGGGGGGGGGGGGGCGGGGGGGGGGGGCCGGCGGGGGGGGGGGGGGGGGGGGGGGGGGGGGGGGGGGGGGGGGGGGGGGGGGGGGGGGGGGGCGGCGGGGGGGGGGCCGGGGCGGCCCCGGCGCACCCCCCCCCCCCCCCCCGGCGGACCCGCGGGGGGGGCGCGGGGGGGGGGGGGGGGGGGGGGGGGGGGGGGGGGGGGGGGGGGGGGGGGGTTGGGGGTGGGTTTTTTTTTTTTGTTTTTTTTTTTTTTTTAAGGTGGGGGGGGGGGGGGGGGGGGGGGGGGGGGGGGGGGGGGGGGGGGGGGGGGGGGGGGGGGGGGGGGGGGGGCGGCGGGGGGGGGGGGCCGGGGGGGGGGGGGGGGGGGGGGGGGGGGGGGGGGGGGGGGGGGGGGGGGGGGGGGGGGGGGGGGGGGGGGGGGGGGGGGGGGGGGGGGGGGGGGGGGGGGGGGGGGGGGGGGGGCGCGGGGGGGGGGAAAAGAGGGGGTGTAAAGAAAGGGGGGCAACGACGGGGCGCCGCCGGGGGGGGGGGGGGGGCCCCCCCGGGGGGGCGCCCCCCCCCCCCCCCACACCCCCCCCCGCGGGGGGGGGGGGGGGAGGGGGGGGGGGGGGGGGGGGGGAAGAGGAAAAAAAAACACCCCGCCGAAACCCCCCCCCCCCCACACCACCACCCCCCAACACCACCGAAAAAAAAAAAAAAAAAAAAAAAAAAAAAAAAAAAAAAAAGAAAAAAAAGAAAAGAAAAAAAGAGGGGGGGAAGAGAAGAGAAACAAGAAAAGAGGGGGGGGGGGGGGGGGGGGGGGGGGGGGGGGGGGGGGGGGGGGGGGGGGGGGGGGGGGGGGGGGGGGGGGGGGTGCCGGGGTTTGGGTTTTAAAAAAAAAGGGGGGGGGGGGGGGGGCGGGCGGGGCCGCGGGGGGGGGGGGGGGGGGGGGGGGGAGGGGGAAGGGGGGAGAAGGGGGGGGGGGGGGGGGGGGGGGGGGGGGGGGGGGGGGGGGGGGGGGGGGGGGGGGGGGGGGGGGCGGGGGGGGGGGGGGGGGGGGAGAAAAAAAAAAAAGGGGGGAAAAAAAAAAAAAAAAAAAGGGGGTGGGGGGGGAGGGGGGGGGGCCCCCGGGGGGGGGGCCCCCTAAAAAAAAAAAAAAAAAAACATTCTGTCGCCGCGGGGGGGGCCCGGCCCCCCCCCCCCCCCCCCCCGCAAAGCCCGCGGGGGGGCCCCCCCCCGCCCCCGCGGGGGAGAGGGGGGGAAAAAAAAAAAAAAGAAAAAAAAAAAAAAAAAAAAAAAAAAAACCCCCCCCCCAACAAAAAAAAAAAAAAAAAAAAAAAAAGGGGGGGGGGGGGGGGGGGTTTGTTTTTTTTTTTTTTTTCTCCCCCCCACGGGGGGGGGGGGGGAAAAGGAAAAAAAAAAAAAAAAAAAAAAAAAAAAAAAAAAAAAAAAAAAAAAGGGGGGGGGGGGGGGGGGGGGGGGGGGGGGGGGGGGGGGGGGGGGGGGGGGGGGGGAAGGGGTTTGGGGCGGGGGGGGTGGGGGAAAAAAAAACCCCCCCGGGGGGTTTTTTTTTTTCGGGAGGTGTTTTTTTAAAAGGAGCCAGGGGGGAAAAACCCCTTTTTGTTAAAAAGGTCCCTTGGGGGGTTTTACCTTTGAACCGACGATATAATATCTTGACAGATGTCACTCAGTCACAAAAGCACTAAACTTAACAGTTTGTACAGCACATCAAATGTATAGATAACGTTCTAGTTTCATAGGGTTTGGTCAACCGTGTCTTAACCATATTTGATACATTCTTCAAGTCTACGAAAGTTTTCCTGTTATAAGGCTTGAAACGTGGATCACATGGTTCTGCGGAATGTTTATGAGGCAATATTTTTTTTTATTTGAATTTCACTACCATGTATAGCTGATGTGTCTGACAAACAAATGTTATACTAACTCAATTTCCCATTCCAGGAACACGCATTCGAATCGAGTCAAAAATATAAAGAGGGCAAGTTCATAATAGAACTGGCTCATATGGTGAAAGAGAACGGGTGGGACTAGGCGCTGGGACTAAAGTGCTGTGACCCCCGTCAATGACTGTTCGTGACCATGCGTCGGCGCCTCGAGCCCTCGTGATAAAATGGCCGGCGAGTCACCTCGCCTCTCTCGCAACTCCGCCGCCATCGATACAAATTATTTTTGTCATAATCAATTATTCATGGAAAATCGATGATGGCGGATTGTCGAGCGATTTACCTAAGTACTGTCAATTGTTCAAGTGTTGAACGCACTGTTTAGCATCTACTATCAGTGTTTAGAGAACAGGATGGAAAACACAAATTGTAAAGCGATCACGTAAGTTGTTTCCATCCCTTTGGAAATCCTAAAGTCAATTGTATGAGAATATTGGCCAAGTGCGGTAATCCTGCTTGACAGTTGACAGTATGTCGGGCGTTATATTAGCGGCTTAAGCTTGAGCACCGCCATTTGACGTTATACATAAGTTATCGATCTCAACCGCCCAGCTTCGGGCAGTGGGCATAGAATTTATACTAATTTTTAGTTATAGAAACGTTTATTTTTCGCGCAAGCGAATATCTTAAGTTGTATTAGTTTACACGTCATTATATATCGGAAAGAACACTAATACTTCTTGTCCCCTTTAACCTGTGATAAGTACGTTAGAATAGAATTTTTGAATTTCTTGAACGATCATTTCAAGAGTTGCTCAGAGAAATTTCATATGTATGTTCCTAATTTCAGCTGTACAATTTGCTTTACTTTTTTACTAGTCGAAGCGGAAAGTAGTTTTCGATGTATTTGCGCCCGTGTTAGGTGATTTTGGTTAGTTTCGTTCATTTTGTTTTGCTTTCCGTTTGAAATTGGAATTTACAATGTTACGCTTTAAAGTCGGGGAGACGATTGGATCGAACATTTTTATATACGAAGGGAGCAGTTAGTAGTTTTATTATTCATTTATTGTTTCCATTTAAATGTATATTAGACACAATTAACCCCAAATATTTTGTCTTAATCTGCATGGTACTTCATTAAGGCGATAATGTTATCCGTGTAAGAGCTTCTACAATAATAATGTCGGATGACATAGTCTGTCAAAATATAATTCGAAATATGACCCGAGATATTACTTGCATTTGGCGATCGATAATCAATTGGAGGGAATCTTTATACGCAGTTAGAGCAGTGGCAACAATGTATAGTGCGGTTTCAACAACGATGTCTCATTGGATATAAAATATTTCAAATTTTACAAATAAGTATTTTGTATTTTAATGAGAAAATTTGGAAAGTATGGGATAAGGAGACATGGAATGTATATACAAGAATGGTATTAAATTGAAAAGCAAGTACTACAACAGAAATGACTACTTACATGGTTTCAAATACATGGCGTCCAAATAAATTCTTTGGGGAATATTTATAACTAATTGTGCATTTTAATCAAACATACGATTCTCGTTATAAAAGAAATATTTTTTTCACCTACTTGATGTAACAAAAGAGAAGAATGCATAATTGATATAAAATGTACTAAATGTTATATCGGTATACCCATCTTGATAATAACAATTAAGCTTTTCTAATACATATTCTTATAAACCTATATCGAGTCATTAGAGATCTTAATTTATGTTTTATTTCCTACTTTTTACCACAGACTGGTAGTTATGACGTTTTATTTTTTTAAAGATATAAGTCGCGGCACGTAACTTTGCAAAATTGATCGTGGTAGGCGAAAGTTTGCGCTCGTACTTAGAGTAAAACATAGAGAGATCTACGACTCTTGCCAACTTAATTGTCGGGAAATATATATATGCATACATTATCTCTATTTTTCCTCTAACACATCACATGAATATAGGAAAAGGTGATTTCTTGTTGTTGAATTTCTTATTGTCTAGACTTTGGGTATATCGACATAATGTTAAAATAAAATCACCCATCGCCGTAATATCAGAGCGTTGATTACTGCCACTAGAATACTTTTTAATATACATAACTAATGTTAATAAAATTTACATGAACGTAAGGGACACGTTTGACACATTATTTTTACGATAAAGCTAATTTAACTATTAGGGCAGCTCTGAAGTTAGCTACATATTTCTAGCTTTGACTGTGAAGCTCTAGAGAAAAGCTTAGAACTTTATCGTAGACAGCGCATTATTTACAAAAATGACAATGCCAGCCTACAAGCTATCTTAAAACAATGCAAAGTTGCCGCATGTAACTTAAATTTGATCATGCTAAATTTGTGTTGCTATTATAAGAAGCGTTTAGTAATGCATCTGACTTCAGAGCAGCCAACATTTGGTGATAGCTGAACATTAGAATCAGATTTTTTAGTGCAACACCTTGTCCGTTTCATATTTTAAGACGTATTTGTATTAAATAACGATACATATTGAAATCAGCCGTTCTATATAACCAAAAATGTCTAATTTTTTAAACTTACAAATTTAAACAGAGTCATATATTTTAAAGGGCCTAAGTACAATAAACCACACCTGGCTCTGGATATCTGAACGAAACGAACTGTGATTTTTGCTTTTAATAATATCAACCGTGCTTTTTAAAGATCGTTAAAAGCTTTGGGTTGTACGAGAAATAATCACATATTGTATATCTATAATTTTCTTTCAAGCTTTTAGATGCTAAATATTGTAATATGTGATATGAAAAGCAGATACGTCTTTTTCATAGTAATTATGGTAAATCCGTAATCACGTCGTTCACGTATATTGTAATCGTAACTGTTAAACATAGGGTTTAAATTGTTAAGAATACTGATGCAAAATGTTCAATGGAGATTTGAATTTAATTTTGTTTTCATCTTCTGTCTAAAGATAGCATTGTTTCATCAATTAATTGGTTTGTAAAGCTTTATGGTGAACAAAAGTAATAGTTTTCTTCTTTTTAGTCACGCCTTGAGACTTCTTTAAAATTAATTTACTACATGACCTTGGTCATGCCTTATTCTTAAATGTTACCATCACAGAGTCGTCATACCACAGCTTAAAAAATATATATTATTTAATTGTTTGCTATTTAGAGGAATGTATATCTATTGGGAATATGAATAAGAACTTCATCCAATAGTAATTTTTACTACAGTATAATTTGTTATTCACTCGTTATGAACATTATGCAACAATAATCGAATTATTGAGATTGTCACACTAGTTTATAATTAACACTCTTAGACCTATATTACCTTCTTTAACATATGACCGAACACAAAAATATATCAAATTGTGACGTTTAAAGTGAGAAAATTAAAAAAGATTAGATCTCTGCGAGGCATATTTAAAGTATTTTTCTACTTGATCGTTTAGGGATGCTATTAGATATTTTTGGACCATTGTTAAGAATCGATCAGTATTGGTGAGGATTAAGAATTTAAATGTTAGTTTTGTGAATGTTGAATGCGGTTGTTGTTGTCGAGATTAGCGAGTTTATGCTTCTATAGATGTAACTGCACCCATTTAAAATATGCTTTGTTACCTGTTTTAACACTGGCAACACCCTAATTCTATATAGAATAAAATACAGTAGATTTTATTAACTACCAATTTAATGGCTACGTATGGCTACGTTTTACTCTATAGTAATCCAAATAATCAATCCGTCAAAACTAAGGTCTTGGAGTGTTAACTACCGACCAATTAGGTGAGCCGAGGAACAAGGTGCATTCATGTATATTCCCCATACAAACCAAATAAGGTATCCCAGTAGATGTTTACGACGGAACCGCTTATTTTTGTATTTTCCTAGTACGTAATGAAGCATTATTAAATTTGTGGTGTCTCCTAAAGATTGTATGCATTATGCTATAGAAGACTATTACGTCAACATTTTGTTGAAATAATAAGTGCGTAATAAAACACTTTTTCGTATTATTCAAGATTTTTATTTTACCCATAAATTATAACCCGGATTTATCAATTAGAAATGATAATAATACATAGGAATATAAGATAAAGGTATAGATATCCCTACTCATCGGCAAAGAAGATAGAGGATGAAGGCCGAGAAAAAAAGCCGGCCAAAGTATATTTCCCATCCAAACCAACACATGGATAAATATGTCATTATTTTTTCTGCCTTTAAAATGTTCTTGTATAATACTAAGTTGTATAATGTAAAAATCAAGATAAAACAAAAAGCCTTGCCTAACCGATTTTAAAGAGTTTGAAGTAGTAGAGAATAATTAATGAGACTAAATATACCTTTGGTCCCTTACATACATTTAATTAGATCATTTGTGGGCGTCACAATTTCTTTAATTAATATATATTTGATGTTTTTACTTGATTATGAATAATATGTATACGGCCTATATATTCTGATAGAGAATTTTCTAAGGTTTTTTACAGGACTCAAACTCCACTGACAAATTCAACTGATTATATTATAGACAATAAGATACGATAATTTTTTTAAATTTGCAATTAATAGGAAAAATATACCAAAACTCATTATTTAATATTCTTTATTAATTCTAAAAAACTTACAAAAGAATCATAATAAAGTTCAACATTTAATGCACAAATGGTGCCCTTTCGCTCTTCTATCTCTTTCACTTGGGGCATAATTCTCTAATACATAAAAATGTAACTGGCATCTGTACGAAGAAATTTAAGAACATAAAGTAAGGTTTTGGATAATTAAACGAAACACAAATAATATTTATTTTTTTAGGTTGACAGATGTACTAAGCTTATATATGCTAAACTTGATAATTATTTTAACTTTAAAAGCTCATACTTTCCTTCCATATAGCCATTTATTTTAAAGATCTTAAGACTAATACAATTCAAGAACTATCTTTGAATTTTGCAAACCTGATTCCGATTTACCAACCCATAAGTTAATTAATAAAAATATTTAAGTACGACGAAATAACGACAATGATTTTATAAAGAATTTTCGTTATTTTATTTATCATAGACATTTACTCCAAGGGTTTTGATCGCAGTGTCGTTAAATAAAATTATAATCTAAAGCTAATTCGATAAGACCTATTATAATGTAAAGGAATTGCTTGGAAATACTTGTACTTTAAAATAAATTATTTATATTTATGTCTCTTTTCATCATAGTGTGAACATGATGTAATAATTGGACAAAAAGAGACGAAAATACTTAGAAAAGTACATGTTGTGGACTTGAGGGCAGCAAAAATTAAGCTAATTTTTTTTTAAATTTTTGATAAATGAATATTACTACTTTAAACGTGAATGACGTATACAACACATTGCAAATACTTTTTTAATGATATTAAATAAAGGCAAAAGTTGGAACATCGGAACCAGCAATAGCACGTCTCATGATTTAGAATACGGGCCTGAGAATTATACCCCTCTCGTGACGCCCACTTAGTGCTAATATCAAAGCGATTTTTCAATGACATATCTTGGATATTTTTCGACCTCTGATTTGAGTACCACTTTTGCTTGCTCTACTTGAGATGGAGTTAATCTTGGCAACGATTTGTAGAACATCTGAAATTAGAACGAAAGTTTTAACCGACTTCAAATAACCCAAATATTACATAAAATTAGCGTGTATTTTTTTTAATAATCCAATTATTATTATTTTATTTCAAACATTAGAACACTTTTCGCAGATTTTAATTAGTTTCGGATATTTTGTAGATCAATAAATAATTTATAAGGCGAATTAATTATACCCTTTAAGAGTGTAGATAGAGTTTAGGGTTCCAGCGATAAAAAAGTTTCGGAAGACACAGAAGGCCGATCACCGTGCTGGAAAGAAGTAAAGTTTGGTTTTTTAAAAATCCGGAACAAAGACGTGGAAGTAACAGTGGATGGTATCCATAGTATGGCCCTTTCTCCCTGTCTGGGCTGGATACCGGAATGAGTCATGAGAAAAATATCGGAAGGCCAGACTGCGCTTCTCTACTATATCCGATCCGATAATAATCGATACTTGTATATTTATCATGCAACACTTATATTAACTAAAACCCATATACCTACTTTACTTTATTAATAAAACGTTCTAAATTCTGAATATTTTATTGCCCTGACAAGTTTATTACTTTTTTATATTGTCTATCTTGAAATATTATAATCTACTTAATAAATAGTTCACTAATACTATGGTATAAAAATAGAAATAAATAGCAACATAATTTTTTGTAGTTATCCAGATTCTTTCAAATAAAGAAACTATAAATAAACCTTAATAATAATTTATAACCTCTTCGATATACTTGACCGATAAAACACCGGTTCCGATCTAAAGTTATCATCGTTAACGATGGGAGTAGTGGAAAACGGCCTAACACACGGTTTCCATATATTTCCGTTTATATGCGCGCAAGTCACACTTATTCCTAAGGTGAAGGCAAATAATGTGAGAAAACCGGTATGTCTCAAACCCAAAAACACACAAAAGACTACTTGTTTATAAAAATTAAAAATGAACAAAGAAGCGGCTGCAATCTAAGGCCAACCAATTAGGATTGTAACTCTATTGGATAATTTTATTAATTATTATTTTAAAAAAATCCTTTGGGAAATACAATATATAGATCCTCCTCTTTAGAATATTTGAATTGAGAATATGTACATATGAAATATGAAAAAAAAACCCCACCTTTTGAGTCATGAGTAGCATTCCGTGTACTTCCTTCATGTGTTGTCTCAGTTGCGACATACGGGGGTACCTGTAATTCATATAATTATATTAAACTTTGCTCTGAGATCTAACTCTCTGAATTACCCTAATGGTCTGAAGTATTTTTATTGATATATATATACTCTTTAATAATTATAGTCCTATATATAATAATAATAAAAAAATATGTCTGTCTTAAGTCTGTATGATCGAGGATATTTATTTGTAGTTATACATATCAGACATATTTTTTACTTTACATAAATTTGCCTTGAAAGTGGTACATAGGATATATAAGGTAAAAAGATCAACACAATCAGCTATATCAAATCAGTATACTTATGTGAAAATAATTAAAAACAATTATTAATTAAATATTTATATATTATGTGAGTACGTCAAAAACCTATAACTAAAAGAGGACTCCCTGTCCGGTGATATAAAAGCGCCGTGCCCTTAAAAATGTAATTGTAAGGCTCAATTAGTATAAGGTTACATGAAACACACAAGTGTTAAGGATATAAGATCCAAAAACGCATAGATTTATGCATTGATCTACATCAAAGTTCCCCAAACTATTTTGTGTCGTAGACCCCTTGCCATGTTTTTCCGTGTTGGGTAGACCCTACTTACCTGATATTGATTTCCTGTAAATTTCTAACTGTACCAACATCCTACAACTTACACAATTTTATAAACATATATAATATTTTTTTTTACTTCAAATGTACTTTTATAAATATGTATATGTTTTGATATTATAAGATAGTATTGTAAGTAAATAGGTACTATCAGTGTATGTGTTGAGATCCACTATCGTGGACCCCCATTTTCATTTCATGGACCCCCAAATTTTTTTTCGCTGACATAGACCCCTTGCATGTATGTCATAGACCTCTAGGGGTCGATATACACCACTTTGGGAATCACTGATCTACATAATAAAAATAATATGTATTTTAAAAATATAATGACTTTTTAGTGCATGTTTGTGGTAAGTGAAATAAAATAGAACAGAAGAACAGAGTAGTATCCCCTTAATAGAGACTGTAAGTAGTGTTATTGGACACTTATTATTCTTATATTAAATATGTATGCTAATTAGTTGAGACTTAAAATACTTATTAGTCTTAAGTAATAAGTTGGGTTAGTAATATTCAATGATGTCTCAGTGAAGAGACGAAAGTATTGTTACATGAACTGTTTTATATGTGATAAACCATACCTGGCCGGACACAGTTGACAGGCGCATGGCGGGGGCAAGTCGCGATGAAGGCGTTCAAGGTGCAGCTGAAGACTGCTCTTCTGCGAGAAACGCTTCGGGCACTCCGGGCATAGGTATCTTCGAAGGGCAGCTGTTCACAATTCATTATTAAATTAACGGCTCTATAAAATACATACTTTTATTTATAGTCTATGCCTAACACGAAATGTTAAAAATTATGTACTTTTTTATATTTTATTTCGAATCTGTATTATTTTTTGCTATCAACTAATTCATTTTTATAATTTTTCTTGTTCATGTTAAAGGTTTTAAAATTCTTAGGAACAATTGAATAGTCCTCATATTGAAATATGAAATAACTAAAATCTGTTAGAAAAACGTGTGCAGTAAGTTTGATCATGTATATTTGATTTTTTTTTAATGGCTCTGGCACGATTTGTGCATTAACCAGCGTCAAGTATAGGATTTTTTATAATTCGTGCTTGTCTTTAGAAATTCGACCGTGTCCTCCATGTACGGTTTAAGCACTCGCCCGGTACCGCACAACCCTCCCAAAGGCCCTTGCCCTCGAACCGGGAATCGAACCCGGTACCCCTCACCTAGCTGTCACTTAATAAGACCGCTAGGCTATGAGGCCCCTTATATTTGACTTACTATCACCGTACGAGTGGAAAGTAAGTAAGTGATATTGCCACATCGAAAAATCTAACCGTGATTTAAACGCACGACTTCATGAGCGACACGCTTAACCATTTGACAAATTTTTCATTATTAAGCATTTAACATTGTGCGTAAATGATAACCAAACATTTATTGTCATTAAGGGAACAATACGGAAGCTATACAAATCATCTACCAGCAATTTTTCAATCTTCTGTATGTATTTATTTTAATATTGACATTCATAAGTTTACATATTATGTACGAGTATTTTTTTTTAAATTCAAGTTTTGACATAAAATTCAAATACACATGCGAGCTTACGTCACAGTTTATTAGTAAAAATGTAGTAATACATACGTTGGTGCGTCAACATGTGTGCGTCAAGGGCGTTCCTAGTACTGAGTCGCTTGCCGCATTGCTCACACACTAACATCTCGCCGCGGTGTTTGCGCATGTGTCGCTGTAATACGATTTACTTATAAGACTTCTGAAAAATACTTTTATTAAAAAATATACCTTTATTTATGCTAGGGCTTGTCAATAATAAAACAATGGCGCTACCCAACCCTTCCTTCATCATTTTTGGTCTAAGGCACGACCTCAAGATGTTTTCCTTCTAAACAAGCTATTATAAAATGGGCACATAAAAATACCATTTCCATTTCTATTTGTATTCCATTCTATTTAAATTTTCGGGAGGCGTTGATTAATTGGTTACATTGGAGGTTAGAGGTTTTTTTCTGTAGTACTCAGAGTAGCTGATTAAGAGGTAACGGTTACATAAGCCATTTAATAAAATCCGGAATCTAAGATTTTAACTGCCTTATGTTTCCTTAATTCAGTTTTGACTAATTAAATGTTGTTGCCGAGTTTTACTTAAGATATAATTATTACATATGTATTTTATAAATTAATATATGTATTTTATTGTAAAAGAGGAAAAACATTTACTGATTATTTTGATTATATTATAGTATTGTAAATAAACAAGTAAAAAACCGGTTCTACCGGGTATTAATATTTGAATTATGCAAACTATATGATGATAAAGTGCAGTGTTAAAGGAACACTGCATATAATTACTATTGCAATCACACATAGTGTGCATTTTAGTGTGAGGGAGAAGGGTGCACATACCGACAGGGCAGAAGGCGAAGTGTATGCGCAGACGCAGAAGGCGCAAAGGTAAGGCCTGTCTCCCGCGTGCTCGTGCTCGTGCGCGTCTAGGCCTGACCGAGTACCGAATGATGCAGGGCATTGGCTGCACAGGAATCTATAACACATATAATGTGTAAATAATACAAAAAAGTGAATTTTAAACTGCCTATGTAATATGTATAGTTTAATTTCATAATTGTATTAACAAAAAGACCCAAGTTTATGCTCAATTATTATTTTACTAATTATTCATTCCACTCATCCTTCTATATTTGATGCTTAAACATTGTAATTAATATTTAGAGGAAAATACTATTATACTTTGTATTATAAGTACAAGTGGACAGACATAATTTGAGTCTGTGACAATAACATTGATTACCAAGCACCTATTAGCCTTCTGTGGCCACCTATAAATTATTATTGTTCTGCTGCTGCGAATTAAGGCCCACATGCTATGTATTATACCTATTAACCAGAATATATATACCTTTACTTTAATAATAAAACAATAAACAAACCTGTTATTTTCAATTCTGATTTCATGTGATTTAGAAAAGTAGGGCCGATTACGTCCTTTGCTACTAAGATGTCTGGAGCGCGCCTTCAAAACTGAGATGATATCGGGATACATGGTGCAACCTTTCTCATGTTTGTATAAGTTTGTGGGGCTGGAAAATGATAATAATAGTTTTACAACATATATATATAATAAATATACTCAGTAATTAGGAACACATCAATGCACTACACTTCTTCAGATTTAGATATGTTAGTAAATTCTACATTTGTAAAAGTTTACATAATTGTATGACCTAATTTTTGAAAAATTTTACGTTATTCCCCGATGTAAGTTAAAATGTATAACTTTCAGCATATACTTACTTTCTAAAATCTGCTCCACACGCAAAACACATGAGGTATCGCTCGCCATGATAGTATTGAAAATGACGAGCAGCCTCTGGCATACTGTTAAAGAACTTGCCACATGAATTACACCTGAAATTAATTGTTATCGAGAGTCAGTTCAGCTTTTTAAGATTTAAAACATAAGTACAATTTTATAGTTGCAACTAAACCAGTTAAATATAGTACTATTTTTATAGCAATACTAATTTTACAGACTTGTTCCAGAACACTTCTTTGTCTGAGAAGCAGAAAGAGGATTGTAAGTGCATTCTACTAATAGTTCAATTACTTACTCAAACATAATGCCATTCATGACACAAAAATTATCAGGAAGAGGTGGCGGTTTTATTGTTCTCATAATTTCTGCTAAAGTTGAAATTAATCTTTCTTCATCATTCAATTCTGGGTAGGTTTCTTTCAACTCTTGCACATAAGAAGAAACCTGATGTGGCCTCGGTGGTCTTTCTTGTTTTCCTTTTGGTCTTGCAAACTCATCATCGCTTGATCCTTGAGTATCTTGTTGAATAACATATTGAACATTTGAATTGTTTTTATTGGTATGTTCATCGGTCTCTTCAACTTCTTGCACTAACACTTGTTCACCATTTATCTCAACTATATTGTACTTAGATGATTCTTGAAGGACATACTGTCCATTCTCTTCTTGTATTAAATAGTGCTGCCCGTCTCCATCCTCTAATTGTAGTTCCCCATTTTGCAGCTGTAGTATACTATTTTCATCTAAACCTTCAATAATTATTTCTTGATTATTTGTTGAATTATTTTGATCTTCTTTCATTTCTTCAAGTTCAACTTCATAAGGTTGGTCTAGTATTATCCTTTCATTTATTATGTCACCATTGACATCTGTCTTTACTGGCTCTTCATAAACTGGTTCCTCTATGATTATTCCTTCATCAACAATTTCTCCATCAAAACTATATTCTTCTTGATTTACATTTTCTTCACCATTTAAGTCATCTTCATTTTCTACTTGAATTTCATAGGTACATGGTTCTTCTTCAATTTGTTGTTCTTCTATAATTTCACCTATCTCCATATTTGAATCACTTTGTTCTACAACTTCTTTTAAATCATCAGGCACCTGATAGTCTTCATCACCAATAATAACAAGAAACATTTCTTCATTTGAACTCATTTTAATGGCTACAACAGAGTAGAAATGAATTTAAACTAGCAATTTCAATATGTATAAAGTATGCTAGCTAGATTCTTGTCTTTAGTATCCTAACATTTGCAAGAAATTGAATATACTAATTATACAAGTTTATTACATAGAGCATCATGACGATCAGTATGTGAAACTAGTGTGATAAAATGAATACATAATTTTTATTAATTAAGATGCAGGTTATCATTATTATCTGAAAACCAACCAAGAGAACTTTTTGAATCTTATAAAAATACATCTTGCGTACAAATAGGTTATCTTGAAATATATTTTTAAATAGTGTCTTGGATTTCTCATTGTTTTTACGAATATATTTTCTATGAAAGTTATTATTTATATCATTTGGCGCCCTAAATTGGCGCCACTTTGACAGTCTCCTATTAAATGCACGCAAAGCAAGGAACTCTTTGATAGATACTCATGTAATGACTGATTAATCTAAGTCAGTTATTAAAACTATGTTACATACCTTTAGACCTTCATATTTTGTAAAAACTGTTGTTATTTATTATTTGGATCAATTTGACTTATCCAAAAAGTCAATTTATTAACATTTAACTAAATTAGACAAATGGCATTAACTTCCCTTTGCCAGTTGCTCAGAGAAAGAATCTTATTTTTTGACAATACACATTCAAAATGGCACCTTTAAAGTTTATGACGTCTGACAATGCTGCGAAGCGTGGCGTTCTTTGATGGCGACACAATGGCGATTGGCGATTTGCATTATTGATATGACAATTCCCGTGTGCTTGGGTTGCCAGCTCGGAAACTATAAAATTTCTTGTCAGAAATATGTAAAAGATTTTATGATTGAAGCATAAAAATAATTTTTCTACACGATTTTTTTACTGAGTTAAAAATTTATGTATGCTGTTGTTGAGTTTTAATTATTATCTTAATTAAACGTGATTAGATTTTGACTTTTGATTACATCATACAGCCAATGCATATATATATATATATTATACAATATATAGCATCTTATTCATAACTGTAGACTGTGGAATGTGGGTTTCGTCTGTTTAAAAGTAAAAAAAACTAACAGTTGCCAAGTTTTAACTCTGAAAAACTTTTTATTTTTATTTTTAGCAGTTTTGAGATTCAAATAAATGTTGAAAATTGTTTTTAAAAAAATATTGAATATATTTTACGTTAGCTAAATCTGCAGATCTAACAATGAATTCGGAATTACTTATTGGCTTGCCGAATCTATCATTTCCGAAAGTTGTTGCAATGAAAATAACCTTACAAGATACTATTAGATGTTTCAAAGGTATTTATACTAATAACTTTGCTATTAATTAAAACTTGTTTCATCGTTAGTGCAGTTACGTTTCATATAATACGGTAATTATTTAAATATTTCTTTAAAACTTTTGACTTTGGCGCCAATATCCATAAGTAATTCCAGAACTTGTAATTTTTTGATAGTCTTGTATATTATTCTCATAATTGACTTCATAATATGTATACATTTATTTATTCCTTACCTTAAAATATGTCGTAAACCAATATTATTATGTGTAAGTCAAATTGAAAGTGCTTTTACAGAATTAGCTGAAGAATATGATGAGCTAAATAAGGAAAACATGGAATATAAATCAAAATTTCAGTCAGTTGAAGAAAAGTGTAATTGGTAAGTTTAATTATGTCTGATGAGACTGAAAAACTGTGTTTACTAATAAAATTCTGTTTTTCTTATATACAAAATGGATAATAGGATGCACTATTTGCCAATCAATAGCAGGTTTAATTATCCGCTATTTTACATGTTTCAGTAAAAGTTTGAGTAGTCAAGATGAATTAAAAAAAGAACTACAACAGAAAAATTATTTAATACAAAAAGTTGGTAAGTTCTTGTACTGTTGTTTAGTACAAAAATAATATAACATGTTATGTTGGTAAATAATAAATATAGACAAATCAAAAATAATAATTATATTAGTTTCTGTAAAATTCCAGCTTCAGCCCTTACAGAACTTCTAGAAACAAAAGACCTTAAGATAATAGATGACATTTTTAAAATAATATGTAGTGAAACAAAGTTAGATCATAATGATGTAGCAGTAAAAGAAGAAGTACAGGATGAATCTTTGTCAGAAATAGCAGGAACCCCTGGTCGCAAGAGTCCTATTATTCTAATGAGCAAAAAAGTTAAGACGAATACAGCTTTTGGCTTAAGTCTAAATAAGAAAAGTGAGGAAACTAGGTGAGCATTCTTTGGCCTAAGTCTTTTATATGTCTACTTTCAAATATGTACTTTGCTTTTCTATGAGGGGTGTTCAACAAATAGTGATAATGCCAGACATTCCTTGGAAATAAAAAAAAAAGGGTGTGTGTACTTTTGTACGCGCGTACGAAGTTATACTTCTTTGGCATTATTAAAAATAGTTTTTGGTTGCATGCAAATAATTAATTATAATTAAATAATCAAAGACTGGAAAAGGAGTCATTATAGTCAATAAAGTTCAGTTTACATTTGAAAAATTAAATAAATAAATATTTATTATTATTCTCTTACATTAATTGTAACATAAATTCTATTATTATTCGAATGTTGTTTTTAAATTATATCCAATGCCGTTGCATCGTCCGTGGGCAACTTCATTCTGTTAATTCTTTGGCCTAAGTCTTTTACATGTCTACTTTAAAATACTTTGCTTTTCTATGAGGGGTGTTCAACAAATAGTGATAATGCCAGACATTCCTTGGAAAAAAAAAAGGGTGTGTGTACTTATGTACGCGCGTACGAAGTTATACTTCTTTGGCATTATTAAAAATAGTTTTGGTTGCATGCAAATAATTAATTATAATTAAATAATCAAAGACTGGAAAAGGAGTCATTATAGTCAATAAAGTTCAGTTTACATTTGAAAAATTAAATAAATAAATATTTATTATTATTCTCTTACATTAATTGTAACATAAATTCTATTATTATTCGAATGTTGTTTTTAAATTATGTCCAAGGCCGTAGCATCTTCCGTGGGCAACTTCATTCTGTTAATTTTGTGTCACTGTGCGCGCGCATCGTAAAATTTCACTCTCATCAATTTTTCATAACGCGCCTAAAGAAGTATAACTTTCAAAAATACTGTCAGGTATAAAATAAACAATCAATTCTCTTTTATTTTTTAAAAAAAGTTTTTTGTTTGTGTTGTATCGAAACATGTTCTTAAAAATGGGTATTTGAAGTCCGCGCGGTAAAAAAATAACTCTGCTTTAACATTTTTACTACGGAGCTGGTAAATCAAGAGATGAGAATATCATTAGGGGTTCATGCTCCTCCATATTCTACGGTTGCGCGTTAGTGTGCTGAGTTTGAGCGTGGAAGAACTTCCCATTAACGACAACTTCCGTACGGGACGCCTAACATCGCTAGTCACATACTAACAAATGATTAAAAACGTACACGTACGTCTTGGTCGGTCGTCGTGTTACTGCATATATAACAGAAGAAATTAAGATTACTATAGAAAGTGTTCATAACATTATACACCATTTGGGTATGAAAAAAGTGTCAGCGCCCTGGGTGAACAGAAGCTGTTTTAGTTTGATACCGATTTTTGGCTTGATTCATAACTATGGACGAAAAAACAGTCCATTACTTGGAAGAGACCGTCCCCTGGCGTCCAAAGTTGCGATGGCTGCCATTCAAGAAGCTGGATTCGAATTGATGAAATATCTTCCATATTCATCAGATCTAGCGCCTAGTGATATCTACCTACCTGTAAGGAAGATCCCAGGGGTTATTAATATGATGACGATGCCTTTTTGCTGCAGTTTAGGCTTTAGAGAGAGAACATAGTGTATAAACCTGAAAGGTCGAAAACTACAATTAATAAAACATAATTTCGTCTAACTCATTACAACTTTTTATTGAACACCCCTAGTATCACAAGTAATGTTTCACATAAATACAAATTGTTACTATCAAATCCGAACCCATCAATGGATCGGCGTCTATAATAAATTTGATTATATCAGGGAAACACCAGAAAAATGTGTCAAGTTGATATTTCCATCTCCAACTAGAAGTAAAGGTAGTGGTCGGTTAAAGCAGTCCAGACTTAATGTTTTAAAAGAGAAATCTTCACTTGTGGTTGACCTTACTTGCTCACCAGAAGCTGTTAGGACTGATAATGATAAGGTAAGATAATAAGAAGGTATGTAGGTAGGTAGATAATGATAAGGTAGGATATAGTTTGATCTGTATCTTCTAAGACCCATTATTATTATCTACTACATATTAATTATTTTTTGGTTGTGGTAATATTTAATTTCTACTCTACTAATCTATGACTGCGCCAGGTTTAGCGCACGCGCGGTGGTAGCGTTTCAGATTTTGGCGCCATTCATATTTGACACATAATGTTTATTTATATTAAATACATATTACAATTTTGTTTTGGCAATGCCGGAGAGTTGGAGATCACGTTCATATAAATGCTATCGAGAGTTAGTTACTACATTAACAGAAAAATAATTAAATTTAAAGAAATATTAAAATTATTTAATTTTATTGAAATTTGGTTTGAAGTTCTTCTTTTTATTTTTAGTGTAATGTTAAAAAAGAAGTAACAGACTATGATGAAACAATATTACCTTCACCAACAAGTGGGCCATTTCTTTTGCATCAAATGTAAGTGATTTAAATATCTATAATAATTCAAATGAGACACTGATTGTGTAGTAAACAGTATATTTTTTTTTTCGTTTTGTAATTGTGTAAGTCTACAGTTTTTTAATTACGTTAGAATTTTACCCGTTTTTTTATAATAGGGTTGCCTGGTAGTGATGGTTTGTCGTTGTTAATAATTCATGTATATGTACCAAATATGTAATGCCACAAAGTTTTAATATATAAATAAATAAAAATTATTTATGAGTGAGCGTGCAATTTCGCACCACCTTAAAACCGCCAATATTAAAACCTCTACAACTTTATAAAAAGCATTAATACGTTTCTTAAATATCACAACACAATCTTCTATTTACGCTTTTATAACACTAAAGATACACTTTACCAGTTTAAAACGCGTCTAATTTATCAAAATTGTACAATTATTTATTTTTACTTATTAAAAGTATCCATGCGCGTTTACGTGTTTGCCTGGCACTGTCAACCCGTTACTGTGAAATTAAACGAGTTTTAATCCGACTTCAATAATATTTAGGTTTAAATCGATGTCAAGGGATAGTCCAAGTAAATTCAAAAAGCCTCAATCACCGCTCAAGTTAAAGTTAGAAGAAACAGAAACTTTTCACGATAGGAATCGAACTGACTCAGCAACATACACACAACATTCAATTGATTTGATGAAGCATTGCAGACGGAAGTAAGTAACAAGTCTATATAAATCCTATTTTCAATATGTTTTTCATGTGAATGTACTTTTGTGCATGAATTATTCGCTTTTAAAATTAAAAGATTTCTTTTAGGATATCCTGTAATTTATTGCATTAATATAAATATAACACTACAAACTAAGTTATTGTTTAATTGTGATTGTGAATTGTATTTGCGTCTTTATTGCTTTGCATTAAGGTGTATTTTACATTATGCCTTTTTTATTGCGTCAATCGTGCTCTTTTAGTTCGTTCCAAATACATATTTTTCAACGAAATAAGGGAATATAACTAAACCTATTAAAGCCACATTAATTAAGGTAATAAGTCCCTAAAATGACGCGACAAGAATAATTAAAGACAAAAGAAACAATATAAATTGTACTCAAGTTTAAACTATATAAGGGTTATATTTATTTATGCAAAAAAAATATATAGAATACAGATTGTTCTAACTATATTTAATTTTCAGCTTAAAAATAAATAAATCAGAGAATGAAGACGAAAACATGGAGTGTGATGCGAACGACAGTGTTTCATTATTGCATAATAAAAATAGGTATATATACATCTTAATATATATATTTCTTGTGTGCGTGTGTATGTGACTGAACTTCTCTCAAACGACTGGACCGATTTTGATGAAATTTTTTGTGTGTGTTAAGGGGATTGGGAATGGTTTAGATTCACAAATACCGAGATGGACTGCATCGGTACTTTCATACTTTGCTTAATATCCTAATCGTTTAAATATCATCAGGAATGGGTCATTATTATATATATTTTTAGAAGACACATTGCTGTTTGTTTTATTTAATTTTGATTTATGCCAGTTGAAATCTTGTGCTCTAAAACCATATTTATGCGATAACGAATCAAAGACCTATAATAATAATATAATATATATCGGATTCAAATGATTTGAATCCGCGTGAGCCATATTATTATAAACACTAACTTTGAAGTATTCAAAAGTATTTAGTAATTCAATTATATTAGAATTATAACCTTTTGATACTAGGTATATTATGATGACTTTATTATACTTATCGGTAAATAAACAGCCAACTTTTTTCCTTTTCAGTCCGCAAAAGGCGCCGTTAGGTGTAAACAACAACGTTTTAAACACACAAGTAGATATGGAGTCGAGCCTGTCGATATTACAGCGAAACGCGAGAATTTCACCCCCAAAAACGACTTTGCCTAAGAGGTAGGTCACAATTTATGACTGCAATTTTACAATACAAAGATTTCCTATCAAACTATTTATAAAGAATATTATATTGTTTTGTATTGCATGATATATTCGAGATAATGCTGTAATAATTACACGGCTAAATACAAACAAAATTGTAGGCGTTATGAAAATAGTACTACAATATAAATTCAAACTTTTTTTAACGAAATAATGCAGATAATGTTTCCATTACAAAAAAACTACAAGTAGTCAATGTCACTTAGAATAATAAAAAAAAAATATTTGGCGCATGCGTGATGTATAGGGTCTTGGCGCCATTATGTTTACATTTGAAATTATTGCACCTGATATTATTGATGTGGTTGTGTAATTTTTATTGAAAACAAAAATACGATAGATATTGTTTGTTACCAATGCTAATACAGTCAGTCTTGTTTACATTTTCTTTTGAAAACGTCTAGGCTTTCTTTAATTTGAATTTTATCCCTTAAAACTGTCAATGTTCATTGCTGATGAAAGTTGTTATTTATAAGGACAAAGTTGGAACCAGTAGAGCCGGTGTATAAGGAGCCCACACTGAGGAAAAAAAGTGATAAACGGGCCTTACCTGGATGGAGCTGTGATAATTGTATGCAGGTAAGAATATAATTGATATTTAATAAATACTTACAATACAATATAATAATGAAACTGCAAAAGGTTAGTTGCTTGTGCTGTTCATCATAATTCAAGTAAAAACAGCCAAAGAGTTTTTTAATAAAATTTCTCTTTTTACCAATTAGTATTCTGGAACATTTTCTATAAGGAATCAACTATTTTTCGTCGATAAACAATTTCCACCTACGGTTCTATATATTACGGGTATTGGGATATAACTTGGCAAGATGTTGCGGGAAAGACGTACTTTTAGTAGCATAATACCTAAAAACGACAAGTGCATATAATATTACTGCCATCTAACTAACTTATATCTGCGTTAGATTTCGTCTGCGTGTTATTAGTGTAATAATAATGTAGGATATTTATTTAGAAACTATACATACATTTATTTCCAGTTCTATGGTACCTTATACGCTGACAAGCCAGACATGCTTGCTCAGAAGATGGAAGAGTGTTCCAAACACCGAGGCCGAAATAACCCCATTCGTCCCTCCACTCCTAATGGTTTTTGGGATATTAGATGGGATGTGCCTGCAGATACTGAAGAGTTTAATAGAAGGAATAATGCTGTATAAAAAACGAATAACCTAGCCATAAACACCCATAGACGATTTGACCAATTCATCAAATGGTTATCTGATAAATTGGTCATTTTATTAATCATATTTAAAAATAGTTTTGTCTATTGTTTTTAACCTATTTGCAAATTCTGACCTAGCACATTACTTTATCCTGTCTAATATAGTCTGTCAATTTATTTTTTATTTCTGCCATCATGATTATGCTATAGTCTATGGATGCTAATTAGTACAACTTTTTTATCAGGCAATTTAAAAAAGTGCAGCTTGTATTTGTCTGTCTCCTCTTTGAACACTTGTTGAATTGTTACTTAAGCATCTAATAAAATTTACCTAACACCCATTGCTCACTTTAGGACCTCAGTCTATACATTCTATAATTTTACCTGATTGAAGGACTGAACTTCAGTAAAAAATCTAGACTCAGTTACTTCAATGACTGTTGTTTGATTGGGAGATTGTTTATTGATGTACTAATGGTACATCAAGCCTTACACACATACTAAAATTTAATCAATACAATATTGTTAATGCTTATTAAAATCAAAAATAGGCGATATGCAATCCATGACAAACATTATTTTTATAAATACATATTATTTGTTTTTTTTTTATTGTAAGAAATGTAAGTGTAATATAGTATTCAAAACTAAATTATTATATCATTAGTAATTCCTTTTTGTGGGAGCACTTGTCATTTTTTTTGTATAGATTTACTGTTCTGTGTTACCTCATACATTATAGTTATACTAGTTTTGTTAATTTTCTTAATTTGTTCAAATAAGTAATAACTGCTGTATAATCCACCAAAATAAACAAAGTAGGTATTAAAATGTTCATATTATAATTGTATTTGTGTTATTTATCAATAATAAGTTTTTGAATAATTGTATGTATTAACAAATATGAATAATTGAAAATTATTATTTTGGTAATTAATAAATAACTATTTTGGATGGTATTTTGTGTTATTTGTTTTTGTGTGACTTTCTACATTTTTAGATCTATACAAAAGATCTGTAATGTCTAAAATTCCGCATAGTGGTGGAAATGAGCTTTCTTCTGGGCGGTAAAGCGCGAAATCCCTAGTATCGAATAAATCAGAGTTTAGACAGACTATGATGAATCATTATTTTGAAATCTTAATACATTTCAGAATTCAGTGTAAGTGTAACACAAATTGACCTCATTTCTATTTTTTTAATCTTTTATTTTTATATAAATTAGCCGCCAGAAGCGCGAAACGTAATTTAAAAGTATATCTTCCAAAAGTCTACTCTGTGTATATATATTTGTAGCTGCATGATGCCAAATGTCAATTATCAAATATCAATGTTCATCAACTGGCCATTGATTGGTCTGTTGGGTCGAATTATTTGTTTTGAAAATCGTGTTTTGACCAAAATTATTTAAAAAAAAATTAAATTCTTATTACGTAATTAAAATAAAATGCAACTAATATGAATAAATTGTCACATTTAAGCGGATATCAAACTGCTCTGCCACTACAGGTCGTTAATAAATTATTTGTTAGAAGTATTGGTAACTCAGGACGGAAAGAAATTGAGGTAAAGCTTGCGTCACTAATAAGAGTAATAAGGTGTTTTACATAAATGCTTGTTTGAGGTATTATTTACTACATGAGTTATATATATTATTACATGTTTTTTAGGAAAGTTATAAACTCCTTAATATTCCGCTTGATTCTAAGCATGACACAGTTCGTCAAGCATTCTTAGAACTTGCTAAAAAGTATCATCCAGATTCCCAGTCTCCACACGCCGATATAGAAAAGTTTGTGGCTGTTGAGAATGCATTCAGAATAATTTCTAAACATAATACAGGATCCAATGGTAGGGCAGAGGTTGAAAAAATTGTTTTTGATATAAGGGTAAGATTTTAACATTCATAACAAAACATTCATTTACATACAATTGAATCAACTTAATACTTGTACTTTACAATTTAGCACACAGCACCACAACACAGACAATACCTGAGTTATGAAGGTGTTGGCAATGGTACTCCATATCAGAGAGAGAAACAATGGATTCAAGTGCGAGCACAAAAAGCAGCAAACAATGTGATGGAGCATCGAGTGTCTAAGGCTGTGGCATCAGACAAAACATTAATGAAGAAGGGTTCTTTGAATAAACATGCCATTAAAACTAAATATGGGTTTGATCGATTAGTTGAGGATCTAATTCAAGAGTCAATGTCTAAGGGTGAATTTGAAAATTTAAGTGGAAAAGGAAAGCCTTTGAAAGACCAGAATAGGAATCCATATGTTGACTTTACTACTCATAAGTTGAATGAGGTAAATTTATTTATTGGTATAAATGAAAATTATGAATAATATTTAAGTTGATGTTGAACTTAATTGAAGCTGCTATACCAAACAGACTATTGCTGTAGAATTCAACTCTAAAAAAACTCTCATTCACTTTGAGATTTTTAAATATTTATACTTTTGCATAGAAAAGGGTTGTGAATTCCAGAATTTGTGGTGCAAGAATTAGCTTTAATTTGGTAAATAACTTGACTATCATAAACTACATACAAAGATATAGTACCTGCAAAAAGTAATTTATAGTAGTAGTACTTTTCAAGTTATTTACATATATTGCTATGATGTTGGATTTCATATAAAATATTTTTTTAAACATGCTTTTAATTAGAAATACTTGTCGGCAAAAATTGTTTGGCACCTTGGCAAACATATATTTCCTTATGTATTCTTATAAATTAAAGTTTGTTAATATGGAATATATTGATTGAATGAACACAGTGATCTTACAACTGTCTTGTAAGCATAGCTGCTTAATGTAGTTATTGTATTTACAGGTTTTAATAAATAATGGCTTTACACCTGAATGGATAACTATGAGTAAAGACATAGACCAAGACATTGAACTGTTAAAGGATGAAATTAAAAAGGAAAGAATGTATCTTGGCCCATACCCATTTTCAGAAACAGATAATGAGAAATGGTTTAAAATATATGAAAATAACAAAAATTTAGCTAAATCCATTAACACAAAAATAAATACATATAATTTAATTGTTCCCCTACTAAATAAACAAAAATTTCATGTAGAATATGATAAAATTTGCCAAGATATTTGCACAAATGGTAAACACTCTGTTGAAGGTGTTTTGGAGAAACAGGAAGTTCGATTTGTGCATGTCCAAGATAATGAAGATATTATTTCCATAATTTTCAAAGCTTTTAGTGAAATAATTAACTTTAACCCTGACAAGAAGAAGGCATAAAATATGATAGAGTATATAGAAGTGATTAGAAATCTGTGATATTTAGTTAACATAATTTATAACATGTAGTAAATTTTACTGGTACTCTTGAATACCCACTGTGTACCACCAATAAATAAGACAGACAATATTTTAATTTATTTTATTCAATATATAAATCTTAATCATAACTCCATAAATTGATTTTCTAAAATGTACATGGAAGACTTATTCGAGAACCTTATAGAAAAAACAATTCATAATTGCTAATTGCTTTTTAATTTGGCAGCCTTATTTTATGACTAAATAAAGAAAAGTTAAAAATATCTACTTGAAAATTCAAAAGTCAACGTTTAACTGCTACTTTCTTTCCATTTGATTAGCTATATAGCACCCGTTAGAGTCAGCGGAAATTACCTTTTTTGTTGTTTACAACACTGTAAAATATATAATTTTTGTGAATAAATGTAATGATGCGTAGCAAATAAGAATTATATTAGTTCGTATAATTGCCACGCCGGTTCTCCGCACAGACTATAATATTTGAGTAAACTATTGAATCCATTTATTCACATAACAGTAAAATTGTTAAAGACCATTTTATAATTAATATTAAACTTAATTCTATATACATTATAATATTATATATAAATAAAATTGAATGGTCCCAAATTTTAACATTAACAAAATTTATCTTTTATTAGATAATTAAAAAACTTAACGAAATTGCTTGTGTAGTTTTACATAAGCAAAAAGGTTTTTACATATCATTCATTTAATATCAAAAAAGTTACCTAAACTAAGAGTAAGTTTCACATGTTTTAAATAAAAATGTGAAACAATCCTTCTTTTATTTTTAATTTTTAAAAGTTCCTGCATTTGATTTTTTTGTAATACATAGACTTTTATTTACTTTTAAATATGTTGTCATTGAATAGTGTTTACATTTTTAATAGATAATTAATGTGTAATTTATTACTGAGATAGTTCTATAACATGATGACTTGTCCGTGGCTATTAAGTCTCGCACGACCCGTTGACACAAGACGTAATGCACGAGGGTAAGCGCGATGTTCCGCTGTATGTATACGTGCGGTTAACGTCTCGACCGTATCGTCCGAGCAAACGGGCACGCGCTCTTGGACTATTATCGGACCCGTATCCATACCCTCCTGTAAACATAATTGAAGTTTTCACTTTAAATTAAAAAGTTTTATATATATCTCGACTATAGCACCCGTTCCTGTCAGTGTTGCAATAGTTTAAAAAACTATCAGATAGTTTTTCACAATAAAGTAAAACTCATAAATAAGGTAAATGATCTAAAGTAAAAAGTATCTACGCAGCGCAAGGGCATGTCGGTAAGAGTGGTAGTTAACATAGTCCACGTATACATTTGTATGAATAAGAATATATACTAATTTGTTATGTACTAGTAAAATACAGTTTTTATATAGAAAAAGCTATTTTAGACCAGGGTAGAGCCTTCAAAAATAATAATAATAGTAGGATGACCAATTTGAAAAGGAGATTTCGATTTTTAAGCATTTTCTGAGAAGATTTATGATTTTTTTTTTTAAAGATTTATAATATATATTACTATAGTAAATCTAGACCAACACAACTCAGCGAATTTATATATTCAAATAAAATTAAGGGTATTATTATTATTAAAAAAAAAAAAAAAAAAAAAAAAGAACCAAAAAAAAGGGGGTCCCCCGGGCCGGGGGGTTTGTTTCTGCGCGTGTAAGCCAGGGTGACGAGGCAATAGCGAAGGGTGGATGTTTATTAGACGACCCTTCCATCTAGAATTTTATAAAATAATAATAATACATAAGTTAACTATTATAATACCAGCCATGAAATTTGAAAGTACGCTAATCAATTTTTTATTAAACAACGTTTGTTTTTCATTGAAAAACGACTTTATAATCCGATAATTATTACTAATATTTCGTAAATCTAGACCAACACAACTCAGCCGAATCTTATATATTGCAAATAAAATAAACCTATTGGGAAAATGTGAAACTTATTCTGTTAAAAATTAAAAAGAAAATGAAAATACTTAAAAACAACATCTACAAAATGTATCCGACCAGCTTCCAAGCGGTCAGTCATATACCTGATGAGCGTCACGTACCTCGATCGGCTTCTCGAACTATCAGGGGGGGGGGCAGAGGCATTGGTTTCTTCTTGCGGCGTCTAATTGATGCCAAGGGTGAGAGTCTGACAATCAAGGCTTATGGCATAGTCGTCAAGGGCTGGATGTTGGGGGGGGGGGGGGGGGTTTTGGGAACCATTATACGGGGAGGACCCTTCCGCACCATCTCCTCTGGACACAATTTTTAAATCCCTAAAATAATAATAATAATATTACAGGCACACTCGGGTTAACTATTATCGAATACCAGCCATGAAATTTGGCAAATGTCCACGCTAAAATCAATTTTTTCGGGGGAAGGGGGGGGGGGGGGGAGCCTCTCCCCCCGCCAAAAAATCTTTCCCCCCCCCCCCCCCTAGGCCCCCCCCCCCCCCCCCCCCCCCAATTAGAACATCTCTGACGTTATTTAAAGTCTCCGTATCCATGCCCCTCCAGCCCAGATTAACCTCCAGTTGAACCGTTGATACATTGATACTTTCGTAAAGACCAGCTGACTTCTGTACTCTCTACCAACCCCATAATTGATACGCCAATTATTTCGCACTTTTTTCAAATGCTGGCATTTTTTTTTGATTTTCCGTAAACAAATATTTTTTTAAATTATTAATTATTTTAAATAACTAATATTGATAGGGTACAAGTAGGATCTTAAAATTTTAAGAAAGGTGATTTGACGCCGAGTGTATCAATATAAGAAATCACCAAGTATATTCTATCTCTATTGAAAATATGACAAAGCATTGTATAACTAATTGAGACTTATAGTTAATGAAAATGACCGCGAAATGTACTAACTTGGCAACAAAGTCAGCTGAGAGTATCCTCATATATCCAGCCAAACACACGAGGTCAATACGATGAGCTTCTAATACCTTCGACACAGCGCTGTCAAACTCCTCCCGAGAAGCGTAATCTTTGTAATTGAATACCTTCAACAGATAATATGAAAATTAAAAAAAATATATAAAGAACTAGACAGACGTTTTGCCACAATCCCATCTGATGTTAAGTGAGGTGTGGCCTATTGGAAGGCACGCAATCTATAGAAGACTGAAAGGCAGGCAACTTAACGGCGATGGTCAAGACTTAAGAGTTGAGTTTCACCGAGTGAATAGTCGTCTGTAATTTGCTTAGCCCGCCTCTCAATAGCATCCAAGCACTGGCCCAGAGATGACTGCAGTACTCCACATACGAGCAGCCTTCAGCTTGATAAAGATTAAGAAGCTTTTCCGGCGTGAAGAACTGTCGGTCTTTTGCTAAAATACCAGGTTTTTTGCCTGCTATCTGAGCCTTACAGAGAATTAAACGCCCAAAGCTGAGATAGGCGGACATTGTAACGCCAAGCAACACTAGAACATGTGTTGCATACAACAAAAACTAAAGTATATTTTTTAAACCGGCAAGTAAAATTAAATTATAAACCCTTGTTTTAATAATATACAAACATATTCGGGCCACATTATTTTTTTGTAGCCACGAGGTATTGTGCGTTTTCCAAGCCGAAATAAGAGAACAACAAAGTAATTATTAATACACTGAGTAATAATTTTAATATTTACTTAGTATACTAAGGAAAACTTTTGAGATTTTTATACGAATGTTATATTTCTGTAAAAATTATTAGAATATATTCCAAAAATATAATTACTCGAATTCGAGAATCAGAATGCTTACCGCTGTAGGTATATTAGCTTCCTCGGCCCGTTTGAGTGCGTACGCGTCTTTCTTGTTAGACACAACAAGCGCTATCTCCGCGCACATACATTGTGAACGATCGCGGGTGGTATCTATCAAGGCTTGGAGGTTACTGCCGTTGCCTGACACTAGTACTGCCACCTGGAAATTTATGTGTTCCATAATTTTAACTTAGGATTTTATTTATGCAACTTAATAATTACTGTTAATTAGTGTGCATTGTAAAATACATCTTATAGCAAATCAATAAAGACGATATTCAATTCACGAGAATTCAGAGTAATACCGGCATAAAACCCTAATAGCAGTTATAGTATAGCAATTTTTAAGTTGCTTCGAATGCCTTGAAAATTATATTTTTTCTACATGACTAATCACCAAATCTCATCAATGTGACTTGTATATTCTTATGTTTCCTTTTGCATCACTTCACAGTCATGTTTTTTAAGTTTTAGTCTGTTAATTGTTCTTTTGTATAATATTAAGGTTCTATATATAATTTAAAAAAGATTTGGTTCTGCAGAAGCTATTTTGTTTTTCTATACTAAACAATAAGCATAAGGTGTCCCCTTAAAATTTATGTATTGTGTTTCTTTACATATTTGCAACGAAGTGTAAAAAATACAAATGGCCCCACATCTGTTAAAGTTTGTTCTATGAATTACACATAAAATAATTATTAATCGAAATAAAAAAAAAAAAAAAAAAAAAAAAAACCTTTAAAAAAAAAAAAAAAATTTTTTTTCAAACGATCAGTCGTCATCAGACGCTAGGGTTTTAGTCATTTCAATTAGCAGCAAATTTGATAGATATATTAAAAATAAGTTTAGTTAAATGTTTTTCATATAACACATTAAGAGTAAAGGCTTACCTTCTTGTTAATGAGTAGTGGCATTCTCCTAGTGAAGTCGAGGGCTGATGCAAAATTGTCAACAATAACTCGAGCTCCACCTGGTGGACGAGCTTGTACACTACCAATCACCATTGCGCCAAACGAACGGGTTATATTCATCACCTAAGAAAAGTTAAGTAACAATCACGCATTTCATATTGTCAGACAGACATAAAAAAATTAAGAACCAGAAGTTTTTGTTTTAAAAATAAACAAATATTATCTATACTAATATTATAAAGAGGAAAGATTTGTATGTAAGTATATTTGTAACGAAATGGCTCAAAAAGTTCTGGACCGATTTAAAAAATTCTTTCACCATTTGAATGCTACATTATCACTGATTAATATAGGCTATATAAAAAAATAAAGGATCCCTACTAAAACTACAATAATGTTACCCAAGGTTTAAAAAATGCCTATAAAATATCTTTCATCGCATGCGCTGCTAAAACTATTTATGAAAAAAAAGTTCCACAATATTAAAGAACATATCAATATCTACAAAAAATGTTTAAACAATAAATGTCCACCCGTGCGAAGCTGGGTCGGGCCGCTAGTTTATTTATTATATGATCGTTATTTTGAATTAAATTTCGATTTGTGGCGCTACAACCCTTGATACTTGAAGCTTCAGATATCTGTTTCGTTATCATTTGTTTTTTCTAATAGACAAGTAGATGATGAGCCTGTGCTTGCACTCCGACTTTTTGGGTTTAACCATGCCGGTTATCAACAATGCTATCCGCTTATAAACGTAACACTATATTTAACACGTTAAACGTCCAGTGTTATATATAGCCAGAAAAGTCCATAAATGCACAGTCGGGACTCGAACCTACGATGTCAGGGATGAGGGACAACACCGCTCACATCACGTTCAAGATCTTAATTAAGTTTTTGTTATTTACAAACTGTAAATCAAGATTTTTGTATAAGCTATAGTGACATCATAAGCACAAAAATATTTTATAAGTAGGATCTCGATAAGTTACGATAACTGTTTGAGTTTTAATCTAAGTCAGGACTTACCTCAGCTTGATGTTCTGGTGCAACAATGAGGACCATTCCAATACCGCAGTTGAACGTTCGCAGCATCTCTTCGTCTTTCACTGAACCTGTTTCAGCGATCCATGCAAACACCTGCAATTAAACCATGATTTTTATTAATAAAAAACCGTAAAACCTAACCACGGCTTAAGCACATTGTCCCATTTTATATATGATTTCTGTATACTTCAATATACTAATTCTAACAATTAATTTAATTCGTTAACGGTGCCTGTTATGAGATATTTATTAATTTATTATATTTATTATTAACACAAAAAATGAAAAAAAACATAAAAGAAGACAAAGGATGTAAATCGGCAAATCATCCAATGGGCAGATCATTTCACAATCTAATGGCACTGACAAGGAGGAATTGAAATAGAGAGAAACGAAGGGATAGGCTATTGGAGCCACGAAAATTGAAGTTATCCTTTAAAAATATAGAGTATATTAATTTTAATTCGTCGTATAAATTCATTGAAAAACAAATATGGAAAACCCTACCGTAGTAGTTTTCGACAATAATTGCCATTAATCTGTTTGATATAGCATGAACAATGTACAGCAAATATAATCCAGTGTATCACCCAAAATAGGTTTTGGCTTCCGATTGCCTTCTGTCTGACACATATCGACTTTTTGTTAGACATGCTATGTTGGTTTCCTCACGATGTTTACACCGTACAAGCTAGTGAAGATATGCACATCACAAAGATTGGTGCACACGGGATGAGAGTCGCACTCGAATCGAATAGTTACCGTAAATGATACATTTGATTAATTTTTATCACTAAAATAAATTATGCAAATACTAAGTAACTCACCGGGTGGACATTCCACCAATGCGCATTAAGTCTAACTCTCACAGACTCGGGAATGACACGAGGGATATTCTCCAAAAGTCCACCGCCCGTTATGTGCGCTACGGCCTTAACGTAGCCCTTTTGTAAAGCTCCTACCACGCTTCCCACGTAGATACGCGTAGGTTTGATTAGCTCCTCGCCTTACAAATAAAAAAAGGGTCAAAATACTAGATTGAAATAAGTTATATCACGCCTTGCGAAACATTATTTACATGAGTTGAATCCAGGAGTAATTCTTTAATATTTCGAATATTCTCGAACCCTAGGGCCACGAATTTGTGCATCAGGCCCTCAAAGGCGTTGCGTTGCTGTCTCCAAAATACGTTAAACATATTATGTTAAGGTAATTAAGTTACACAAATATCGCATTGGCTATTTGCTTTAGGATAGTTGTATAGTTTTAAAGAAATAAATTATAATAATTTGCGTAAAGAAAAACATTTTGAAAATGGTTAGAGTTTTTTATTGATTCATTGACAGAAGTATAAAGAGATTTTTTTAAATCTAGCTAAGTAACTACATATTATGTATTTAAATTAACGACAAATTTCTTTAAAATAATTTAAATAAAAGCGATTTTAAATATATAATCGTTAACAATGAATAAAGCTTATATAAAACCTTATCACAAAAACTTACCTAAAGTAAGGCCATCTTCGCTAAACGGAGCCTTATCGTTTAATTTAAGGTTATTCTTCTTCATAAGGCTGTGTATCAGACTAAATCCGTTACTGTGAACTCCGTTTGATGGGAGACCGATCACTATGTCTCCTACCTGTTGAATAATATTTTTTTAATACAGTTGCTCAAAAAGTGGTGTATTGCAGGGACGTATAGCGTTCGGGATGTGGGCTATTACACACTCGTGTTTTTTTTTTTACCTTTTCCGAACTAGTGCGTTTTCTTTCCCAACTGTCAAAATAATGTCTATTAAAAAGAAAAAACCAACCACGAAGTTTTTACTAAAAAAAATTCATAGCAATTTTTATGATTCATGCAAATATTTCTAAAAAGAAGCTACTGCTTTGTTTCAATATCAGATTTAATGATTTGATTCAATGAGTTAGGTTAGGTTTCATTTCATCTCATTAAATTTCATTTCATATCAATAAAAAATTGTACTGAAGACTTGGCTGTATGGGCATAGTTCCCTTTGCCTACCCAGAATGGGTGAAGAAAAAAAAATCTGCTAATATTCTTTACGGTTGGCGCCATTTTCCATAAATGTTCTTTGCGCGTTTAGTTGTTTGTTATATTATATATTAAATATACATGAACAATCATACGAAATTAATAATAGTTTGTCTCAAACAGTAAATAAATATGCAACCTAAAACTTCTCCAGTTAGTATAAAAAACTGTACCAATGTATATGTGAACAATAATTTGTATAAGAAATAAATGATTAGTGAGTTGAGTTTATTGTTTTTTTATTATTTTATTAAATTGCATAATTTTTTTGCAACTGTATTAAAAATAGTTGTTCAGTACACGTGCGGAACCGTCATTGCAATGAAATATACTATTGTTTAGTTGTGCTAATACGTTGCCATTTTAATAAACATCTACTTTAAGAGACCAATTTCCAATTAGTCTGCGGAAAGGACACCGTTGTGGGATTTGAGTCGCAGCAGTGATAACAGTATTACGTCACTATAGTTCGACAGTAATCTTGATACTTAATATGCCAATTTTTTTTTTGTAGATAATGTGTAGCAAATAAGAATTATAACACAGACATAATGAACAACTATTTTAAAAATTAAATATGTATGGCAACTATGTATTTAAATAACATAAAATATCTATTAACGCTTTATTAATTATAATCTACTTAAAAAGCTTATCAAAAAAACATACCTAAAGTAAGGCCGAATTTATTAAATATTTTGTACTTACTGCAATATCGTTAATTTTTGGCAAAATGTGTGTCCGTTCGACCACACCGAGCGCGAAACCAGCTATATCGTAAACGCCTGGATCATACATTCCTGGCATCTCGGCAGTCTCACCACCTAAAGAACAACACCACGGTGAAAACATTTCTTGTAGTACGGGGATCAAAACATGAACCGTAACCGTTTTATTCATAAAGATACGTTTAAAACCGCATTTGACATATGGAAGGCATTCTTAGTGCTAAGTGTATTTCTTCAATTCTCCCTACGAGCCAAAGCTAAACTAATAATGTTTAAGTCCCATGAGAGTGGTAGCGAAAAAACCTTCGGACCTATTAATTTTGCTACTAAGACTATTTGCTAATGAGAATAACGGGAAGTCCAAGGTAAAATGAGTAAAGTTCGGAAAAATCTAGCTTTTATTGACATGAAGTTAGGTACCTACCTTTGCAAGGAATGACTAACTATTGCAATTTTTTTTAAGGTTACTAAGGTATAGACCAAGTAATATTTATCTCGTAGTATTTAAAGTTCTATCATTACCATTCTATTATATACTTTCTGGTACATTCAAATTTTGACTTATGGCCACACCCGCGCATTTTGGGCCATTCATATCTTCTATACATTTTATTAAATAATTTTTGACGAAGTAATTTAAACTTGGAGGATTTTTATCTGTAATATGAGTTAACACTAGCATTTCTTACCAATCAAAGCTGCAGATGACTGTTTACATCCTTCAGCGACTCCGGAGACCACGTCTTTAGCAACATTAACATCCAAAGAACCACAAGCGAAGTAATCAAGGAATGTTAAAGGTGCTGCGCCATTGCAGAGTATGTCATTAACACACATGGCCACTAAATCGATACCAATTGTACTGTGTTGGTTGGTCAGTTGGGCGATTTTTAGTTTTGTCCCGACTCCGTCCGCTGCTAGGACCAGCACTGGATCCTGAACAAGAAAAAATATTTTTATACCAAAAAGCCGAGGTATCATGATTCATATAAACTTTGCGATTGAGAGTAACTACGGAGCATTATAATTTTGTTCCCGTAATATTTAATATAGGGCAAGCAAATGTCACCTTACGATTTCTTTATTTTTTTACTATATTAAAAATCTATTCAAATTCAACACACAATGGCGAAATTTTAAAGACCATAATCACAATAAAAAACGATTTATATGAAAAACAATAACATCAATGGAATTCCCAGAGTGACAGTGAGGTCCACATTTAGATTAATGAACACAAAATGTGGTTCACATTCTTTAACAAATGAGCGAAAACCGTCATGTCATTTATTGCCTATAAAAAATCGAGATATATTCCCTTTTCCTAACAATTTATGGAAAGAAAAATCAATGCCTGTCGAACCACAATTTTACAGCTGTACACTAGTAATATCGATAAAGTACTGTTTAGAAATAAAATCTAATTATAACTATAGAGAATAATTAAATATTTTTAATTTAATAAAACACTATTTTGACCGGATTGAAGTTATGTATTATTATAAATTTACAACTATTTAACATAATTTTAAATTTATCCGACGTTTCGCGTGCTTTACAGCGTGCGTGGTCACGGTGACCGGTCAAAATAGTGTTTTATTAAATGAATAAAAGTTATGTTAATCAAAGACAATACTATAAATATTTTTAAATTTCTATTTTCATACTGACCCTTACCTTATACTCCTTCTCAATAGCCTTCAATTGGAAGCACCCTCCAAAGCCACCCAAACCACCCAACACTCCGGACCTTGAGGTGGACCTAGCCAAGGGTTTGATCAAGGAGACAAGAGAATCTCCCGCCTCTATATCCACCCCACTGTCCTTGTATGAAAGAGATTTTTGTGGCACGTTGACTCCTGCGCAGTATTGTGCGACAAGTGGCGCCATTGCTTCTTTAAAATTGTCTACTTCTACTTGATGACCGCCTGTGTGAAATTAGAAAAATATTTGTCACCAAACTTTGCAAAGCGCCATCTACCGAGACATAAATGCAATTAAATACATTGAAGATAATTTAAATAAAATATTAAAAGCCAGAACCCAATTGTAAAACGTTAGCACGAAGCTATAATATCTGGTTTAAATAAAACTCAATGCATTGATTAAAATAAAATGACTACTTCTATTTTTGAAGTTATACTTCTTTAGGCGCGTTATGAAAAATTGATGAGAGTGAGTACACAGAATGAAGTTGCCCACGGAAGATGCTACGGCATTGGACGTAATTTAAAAACAACATTCGAATAATAGTAGAATTTATGTTACACTTAATGTAAGAGAATAATAATAAATATATATTTATTTAATTTTTCAAATGTAAACTGAACTTTATTGACTATAATGACTCCTTTTCCAGTCTTTGATTATTTAATTGTAATTTGCATGCAATTAAAAACTATTTTTAATAATGCCAAAGAAGTATTACTTCTTACGCGCGTACATAAGTACACGTACCCTTTTTTAAATAATGGTACATATTATTTAAATAATAAAACTATTCCGGTTACCTATCAAACTTATCTAGAACATATGATTCCCAAATTCCTAATATCATTAAAATATTAAGTATTAACCTTGGCATGTAAAGGTCGCATTTTGCATGATGAGGGATGATTTCGATGAAATTCTTACCTTCCTTTCCAATAGCTTTCACAGAGCCAATAATATCTACGGGACCCTCAACACAAGCGAGGAATTCCTTCAAACAGACTGGATCCACGATGGCTACCATACCCACACCGCAGTTGAATGTGCGAAGCATTTCGAAATCGGAAACCATTCCTGTTTAAAAAAAATCTAATATAGAAGCAAATCCACTTTAACGACGACCACTTATACGAAAAAAAATAAATAGATAATTTAGTACCAATAAATCTTAATATATATATTTCTTCTGTGCGTGTGTATGTGACTGAACTCCTCTCAAACGACTGCACCGATTTTGATGAAATTTTTTGTGTGTGTTCAAGGGGATCTGGGAATGGTTTAGATTCACAAATCAGCCCGGCAGATGGCACTGCAGTCGGTACTTTCATACTTTGCTTAATATCCTAATCGCTTTAAATATCATGCAGGACAACGTCTGTGGGGTCCACTAGTTTTATATAAAAACGTGAGCGCTATGTAGTAAATGCGTGTTTGGAGCTGAACTGAAACATATTCAAGCATAATTCGAATAATTCAAGTGATACTAATGATATAGTATAGTAGCGTTGTACACTTTTTTGGAATGGGTAAAAAATGTTAAACTCGCGCCAGGACAAATTCGTAAGATGGATGTTTTTTAAAGGATTATGAACCTTTGTGCGGTTACGGTTTTAATTAATTTGTCTCTTTCCTCAAATACATTGATGCATGTGGAATTGGACCTTAAGTCAATACATCAAGGTTTAATTTTGCGAAACGTCTAAAGCTTCATTATTAACGATTTGGTCGACGGACGGAGAGTAGACAGCTGGCGCGGCGTATTTAATGTTATATAAATTTTCATGTTCGTGTACGATAGTGCAATAAATAAATATTGTGCTCTACCACATAAATGATAGTACTTTTATACTGATAATTAAAGCAATTCGTGCAAAATTATTCCCTAACCATTTCAAAATATCAAAAACGCACAACGTTAATATTCAAGTTTTCACTTCTGCCGGCACTCCCGGAGTGCACAACCCGTCGTTTTTTTTTAAATCTTAAACTTTTTTAACCTTAAAAGTTTGTATAGATAGATGTTGTCTTATTAATAGCAAAGATAAATGTGTGTGATGACTAATAGTTTTGTTTGCCAAATCTTGATCAGCTAACATCATAGGCTAAATATTCTAATGTAAATCAGATATCTAAGAGAAATTATTGCAGTATCATTTAAAACTAAATTAGACATCAACTGGTTTTTGAAGTTGATAAATACCTTTAGCCTGCAGCCATCCGAAAATGGGCTTTATTTTGAACTTCAAAGCATCCAATTTAACTTGGACACCAGCTGGAAGTATCCTGGGTATATTCTCCAAAAGACCACCGCCCGTTATGTGAGCGAGGCCTTTGACTAGCTCTTTTTTGATGGCTGGCATCAGAGACTTTACATAAATACCGGTTGGTTCTAGAAACTCTTCGCCGAAAGTTCGGTTCGTTGTGCTAAATGGAGCCTTTTGGTGGAAGCTGAAAAGGTAATATACTTATTTCAACGGTTCAAGTATCTGATGAATCTGATTTATCGATTTAAGTGTAAACGAAACTATATCAAAGTATAGACACGCAATATTCAAGTTTTTATTTGACACGTTTGGTCTTGGATCATTACATTAGTCCGAGTTACCGTCGGAAAGCAAAATGTTGTAGTTACCCCTTTTTGCCTATATATCATTTTGTAAATAAATTTATTTAAGCCTTCAAAAAAAAATCGGTCAATATTTAAAAAAAATAATTTTATATATATTTTATTATACCATATTTTAACCTCATTGAAAACTATATATTTAGCTGTTCAGTGAATATTTATTATAAGTCATGATCGTTGGTTTTAAACTCAGTGTTTGTAATGTTTTACCTTTTGCATTAATGGTATTTGGGTTTGGGCTATATTTTTAGTACAATCATTACATGTATTTAATTGTAAATAAGTATAAAAATTTAATTATTATTTATTTCATACCTCATACAATACAAAATAAATTTATTTTATAAAAAATCACAATAAAACAACGTCAAGTGCCGATATGTCAGACAATTCTAACTATAAACCAAATATTGTTTTATTTATTTAAATAATAAATACTCACGTGTTTCCGGTCTCAGCCATAATCTTCTGTACCAAGCTGTACCCATTACTATGTACTCCAGTGGAAGGTAAGGCCAATACCACATCCCCACTCCGAATTTCTTTCATACGAGGCAACTGCTTCAAATTATCAACAACTCCGACCGCGAAACCGGCTAAATCGTACTTGCCAATGTCGTACATTGAGGGCATTTCTGCAGTCTCACCGCCTAGAAAATATTATTTATGGCATACAAATTTTTACAAAATGTATGTAAAATTAGACGCAACTTTAATTTAAATTATTTTGTAAATTTTTGACACTCGCATTTATTTTCTAGCCAGTTTCGATATATGTACTTGCAATTGTTAATATTGACGCCAGTTTTACTTATTTAATTACGCCCTCAATCATATATTATTAGGTAAAGTATTTGTTGCGATCTGCCAAAAGGATGGAGAAGGTCTGCCAAGGATAGAGAGATGTGGAAACGATTGGGGGAAGCCTATGTCGACAGACAACCTGACCAAAGTGGTTGCTAATAAATTATTATTTTCGGTATATAAATTAGATTTAAGAATGCTACTGTTAAATAAGAATAGCATGTAAGTTAAAAAGGTCAGTGAATAAAGGGCTTTTATTATTATTATTATTATTAAAGTATTTGTTGTAGTCAGAGTACAGTATTAGCCTAGTCACTTCAGCGTGCGACTCGCTGAAGTCGTACGTTCGATCCCCGGCTGTGCACCAATGAACTTCCTTTATATGTGCGCATGAAGGAAAACATCGTGAGGAAACCGGCTCGCCTTAGACCCGAAAAGTCGACGGCGTATGTAAGGTACAGGAGCCTTATCACCTACTTGCCTATTAGATTGACAAATGATGATGAACAGATACAGAAATGTAAGGGCCAGACCTAAATAGGTTGTAGCGCCTTTTGTTTTATTTTTTTATTTGTTGAAGTCAGTCTAACTTTTGTCATTGGTCCTATACTAATTATTTTCTTATCATATGACGAGGTGGTCAAGACTTTTTTGATTTCTGTACCAAACACGTCAAGTGTTACCGATACGAATAAAATATTTTTTGATTTTTTTTAAATATCTAGGATGGATTCAAGTACGATATTTTTTTTTACAGCAGTTAAATTACTTAACGTTTTTTAACAAACATTCTAAATGCCTTCAGCTTTTTTACGTAATTAATTTCAAAGACAAATATACAGCTATACTCTATACATAGGTTTACTTACCTAATAAAGCACATCCCGACATTGCACAAGCATTGGCGATGCCCTTAATAATAGCAGTAGCGGTGTTAAGTTGTAATCTCCCGCACGCCATGTAATCAAGGAATGCGAACGGTTCTGCGCCGGCGCATAAGATGTCATTCACGCACATTGCGACTAAATCTTGGCCTAATGTGTCATACTTTTGGGTTATTTCGGCAATCTGAAATTAGATATTTGTTTTGTACCCTAAATGGAATGAAATTCCTTAACTTAAATAGAAACTATAAATTTATTTATAACATTTTCAGTCATTTTTTTTCTTCATTCGAATAAATCCGATCCTGGTAATCAAACAATACCTTAAGTTTAGTCCCAACACCATCTGTCCCTTGGACGAGCACGGGATCTTTAAACCTTGTCTCCATAGCAGATAACTGGAATAGGCCACTGTAGCATCCAAGACGGCCCAAAACTCCTCGCCGGTGCGTCGCCGTCGCTACGGGCTCGATTGTACGTACGAGATTCGCAGCAGCGTCTATGTCTACGCCGGACTCAAGGTATGAGAGGCCGTTAAGTCTGTAAATTTAAAAAGAGTACTTTGTTAAGGTACTATAAAGTTCAATAAAGTTATTAACTTGTTAACTTAGTTAAAGAATGTTGTGTCTCGTATATCACATACAACGTGCAAAATTTATAATAAATAAATAAAATTTAATAGCTATTTAAAATATTATACGCTTTTTAAATACTATTTATAATACGTTTCTGATTTATAAAAAAAATGATAACAATGTTATATATTTTTGTATATTAAAATAACTTCCTAGCCTCCAATTCTTGTGGTAAAAAAAAATAGCTTTTCAGGTTTCTCGCTACGTTATAATGTAAGTAAGCATAGTAATAAAAAATTACTTGGAAATTCCTTTACAAAGTGTCTTCGCGTCGTTTACTTAGTATGAAATAAAATATTTTTTTCACTTTACATTAGTTATTAGCAATATATCTAGCAAAAAACAGGCTCGTAGCAAAATGTTGTCATCACATGGTTCTAATTTAAAACGAAATAGTTATAATTTTTCAATAACTATATTAGCTTCTTATTAACATATAAAAAAGGTTAATGAGACAACTTAAGATACTAGAACTATACATACTAATGTTATTTTTGAATGTGGTAAAGAAATGAAAACCCAAAAAAATCAATAAAACTTAGATTTATTACCCAAAAACAAAAAAATACAAAACAAATGAAAAATGAATGATTCTTCATTCCGCATGCGCTAACGAACTGAAACAAACCGTTGATGATGACATTATACGAAAAATTCAATAATTGAAATGTCCTAAAATGTATATGTTTCGAATGATAGGTTTAGTTTAGTATAGTCTATGTTCGAGACGTGACAGAGAGGATATGAATTTGGTCGTGTCATCTGTCACAAATATATTGTGACAACATTAACAAAAACAGTAAACCGTTGTCGAGTTTGTATATCTTCCTTTAAAAAAAGGTACATGCAAATTTCAAACCACACAAGCATTGCATTAAAAACTAACACAGTAGCATTCCATAACACGCATATCAAAATAGTTACCATATCTCTTGTCGGAAAACTGATAATATAAAAAATAAATTATTCAATTAGAAATGTTTAAGCTAGAAGTCTATTAGGTGGGCTGAAAAGTCGCAGGCTAACATAGAAAAAATTTTTTTTTGATAGAATTTGATTTGAGTATTCAATATAGTTGCCTTCATCATACAATTTTTCGATATAATTTTTATAGTATGATTAGTCTTTAGCCTCAACATAGGCCTTTCGGAAATTATCTCTTCATCAACACAATTTATAAGTTAAGAATTTCAAAAAATATATTTCAATAAATACAATTTTAAGTCACTCTATTTATTTTTAAACGTTATTTTGATATTAGTTTTGTATAAGATTATAAGGGTCCTAGACAAATAAATAACCAAAGACCATGACAATGGAATGTAAAAATAGAAAAAGAGAAGATACAATAGATCATCTTGGCTTTCAAATGTTTTGAAGCTAGAAACGAATTGTATTGAAAAAATAGTATTGTTTTTTTTATAATATATCTCACATGTTTAACAGTTTAAACTTTCCCTGAAATTCCACAAATATTTAAAGATCAAAATTTTCCAAATCAGTCCAGCCATTTTCCAGTTTTAGCGAGACAATCCAACAACAATTCATTTTTATATATAAAGATTACATAACTCAATGATAACAATTTAATAATATAGTCTATTGAAATTTTTCACTATTAAAACTGTAATTTTTACATGTTACATTAAAAATGTATAAATACTTTAAACCATATTTGTATATTTTTTGTAAATATTAAGAAGAATGGAATATGTAAAACTTACTTTGAAAATGCCTTATGCGCGATGTCCTTCCTATACTGAGCACCGGGGAAATCGATAGCAGCTGCCGCAGAGGTTGCTACAGACGCTGCTGTTCTTAGGGAACCTCTTTTAGCCGCTACAAGTAGAACTCGACCTCCAGCGGTTACCAAAGAGTCATTTGCACCACGTGCTACACCACTATGAAACACTACTATGTTCGGACGAGTTTGTGCTTGAGATAGACCTGGAATGTACAAAAAGCGTAACTATATTATAGTGTGTATATGTCGCAGCCAACTAGCTTAATTAGACGTTCAATTAACAGCGTAGCCTTTTAATTAAACGGCGCCGTTTAACTAGCAGCCTGAAAGTTAGCCGTAGCGTTTGTTACAACATTTAATAAACTGGCTGGCTAATGCTTAGGCCATTCGTACGATAGAGACATAATTTGGCAGAAATAAAAGAAATGAAACATATGACATAAAAAATACTTCTTTTAAAATTAAATTCCTTGAGTCAAATTCACATTAATATTGTCACTACACTCTTCCATTGTACTTGTTGTTTTTCATGAAACTTTCGAAAACAACAACAAAGTTATGGTTTGCCGACGTCATATTGACAGTTTGAAAAGTTTCGTTTAGAGTTTGAGAGTGGCAGAATGTGGAATTAAATTTAAATTAACAGTCAACAGGCTAGGCAAGTAATGAAATGTCATCAATCCAAGTAATTTGCCTAGCTGTTTGATCATCTGGCTGAACATCTTTCAGGCCGCTAGTTAAACGGGGCTGTTTAGTAAAAAGGCTAGGCTGTTAATTGAACGGCTATTTAAGCAAGTTGGCTGCGACATATATAGCGACGATAAAGGGACTGCGTGTGTTGCGAGGCTTTAAACACACAAGGAGTGCCAACACACACACATGCACTAGTCATATTTTAAGTACGTGAAAAAAATATTATTTAGTTACATTTATGTCGAAGCTTAATTAGCCGTTCAGTAAAGAGCCTAGCCTCTTTATTAAACATTGCATTATTTCAATTAGCAAATGTAAAGTGAAACGCGTGTCGGTGTTAATAATATGTAATAAAATAAAATTTAATGAATAATTTATTAGAAAGTCCGTTTATTGAATAAAATGGATAATCACGTACCACTAATAACACATCCTTTGGTAGACGTCTCAGGGTAGCCCTTAGAAGCGATCACGACGCCGACAGCACAATTTTCCGTTTCCCATTTCACTTGTACTTGTTTTAGTGTGCCATCGACACATGCCTGAAATATTTATGGTTAACATAATACATAATATCTATGACGAAATTATCTATCGGGATAATAAGTGCGTATACTTTTTTTCAATTATTCTGTCTTAAAATACAAACTGCAAAATTTTAAGTTTTGAAAATATTGAAGACATAAAATAAATAGTATTTTCGCAATACTGCAAGGTAGACTAACCCTCATAATAGTATACAAATCAGATTCCAACAGCATCATGAGCACTTGTGTCTCTGGGTCACCGAAGCGACAATTGAATTCCAGTGTCATCGGCCCAGATTTCGTCACCATCATACCGGCATACAGGACACCTTTAAATTAGAATTGCATTAACATCGAAGAATAAGAAGTAAGAAAGTAAGACCAATTACTTAAAGATTTTATACTGCTAATGGCACCAAACACAATGCAATAAATATGCCATCACAAATAACAAAAATTTAATACAATAATTAAATTGCTAATAATGGTACTCCATAATTCTATAGGTCACATCCAATGTCTAAAGTAATCGTCTAGTTACCGCTCAAGTTTATATTTAAATAAGATATATGTGTCACATATAACCAATATCAAATAAACATACATACATCAATGATAAATATCAAAAGTATCGGTGGAGTTAATGTTAATAATAATAATCAGTGGCGCTACAACCTCTTTAGATCTGGGCCTCAGATTTCTGAATCTGTTTCATGATCATTTTTCAATTTAATACGCAAGAAGGTGATCAGCCTCCAGTGCATTAACACGCCGTCGACTTTTTAGGTCTAAGACATGTCGGTTTCCTCACGATGTTTTCCTTCACCGTTCGAGCGAATGTTAAATACGCACATAGAAAGAAAGTCCATTGGTGCACAGCCGAGGATCGAACCTACGACCTCAGGGATGAGAGTCGCACGCTGAAGCCACTAGACCAACACTGCTCGGAGTCAATGTTAGGTACTTTATTTTGTTCATATTTTATCTTACGAACATAATCGATCTTTTTTATTCTTCTTGTTTATATTCAATTTCAGGGCCCGGATAGATCGAACACGGAATATTTAAAATTACCGAAACCTTGACATTGTAACTTTGTATTACGCACAAAGCGTATAACTTACATCAACAAAATACTCGCAAAACAAGCTGGACGCAACATCTTAAAACGTTGCCTCTGTTTTTAGACAATTCTCAACCTAATTCTCTTCACAATAAAGGCTACTCATGTATTGTATAAAGCATGGTTGTTTGTCAATTGTTATCTTTGTTTATCACTTTTAATTACAATTAATGGTTATCACAACGCAATAACAATTATCTGACGTCTCAAAAATAGAATTAAAGTATGTATTACGACTAAAAAAAAACAAATGAACGAATTTTCCAGTCGGTTATTTTATAAGATACTGACAAATTCAAATCCCGTGCATCAATAGACTTATACACATTTAACACTCGCTTGAACGGTGAGGGATTACATCGTGAGGTAACATCCTTTGGCATGCCTTAGACCCAAAATCGGTGTGTATTAGGCAAATAAGGCTGTTGACATACTTTCCTATTAGAAACAAATAATCACGAAACAGATACCGAGATCTCAGGCATGTTTTATTGATATTAATTCCGTCGTAGCACGATGTTCTGTAGCTTAAAGCTTCTTCGGTAAACATTTCTTAACCATATCACATCCTGCTCAATCGTAATTTTTGTAATTCTAGTACAGTCAAACCTGGATGAGCGAGAGTTCAAGGGAGCCCAATCTCGTTCTCGCTTATAGAGGTTTCTCACTAACCCGAGTTTCTCGCTAATGCAGGTACATGGGTAGCGTTTCTCTCTTATAGAGAGGTACGAATGTAGTAAATATGTAATATGATAAAATTATGTGCATAATGTGCACAACATATATAATGTACATGTTTATTTTATTTAGAACTTATTAACACTTAAAAAAACCGTCAATTTCGTTTGAGTTTCTGTTTTTGTATTTTGAATGTTTTTCTCTAACTCATAAATTTTGTCGAATATTGCTTGATCAACAACCGCCGCGTATTCAAAGTACAAGCTCGACTGTCGCTTATAGAGGTATAGATAAGTAGCAGTCTCACTTACGGAGGTCCATGAGGGAAAAACGACTCTCTTACAGAGGTTTCTGTTTCTCGCTAATAGAGGTTTTGGGAGCTTAAAATGACGGGTCCCGGCTATTACTCTCACTTATAGAGATTTCACACTAATCCAGGTTTGACTGTATTTCTTATTCTTTTGCATCGCAATTAATTAATCCGTGAGATTAGCTTTTTAGTTTATATTTTCTTTGTATTATTTTAGATTAAGGTTGGTGTTTCTATATTTTTTATGTAATACGATTTGGCACTTTACCCATCATATTTCTTTTTTTAGGTTTTTATCCCCCCCACTAGGGTTGCCTGGAAGAGATGGCTTGTTAGCGATAAGGCAGGCCGTAGCATCCCTTATAATTTGTATGTATTATGTTATTTGTTTTTCTATAACTGTAACGAAGTGTAAATAAATAAATAAGTAGACTATTCAATTCAAAAATAATATTTTTTTGTTAGACATATGGTATCTTTTAATTAGTGGTTATTGATATCTTCTATAAAACTGTAGTAAATCACTACGATCTGTTGTCAATAGATCCCGCAGCGATTTAGGAATTTTTATTTGTCATTTTCACAACTTTAAAAAAATATTCTATAGCTTATGTTCATTAGAGATAACGAAGGGTTCTAATTCTCTCAATATGTTTTACAAACTAGTAGTGTGGATTCAGTTTCTGCACTTAGGTGCCCATTTGATCCGTTGTGCGTAGTTCTCTTTATAATATTAGTGTACACATGTGGAATCTCTTTATAATATTAGTGTACACATTAACTGCATAAAATTTAAATTTAGCACTAGGCCGGGAAGAAGTAGGTAATATTCTAATAATTAAAGTGCGACATATGACCTTTTAACTCTTACACTTATCTACGGGAGCAAATGGTATCTAACAAACATAAAAGACGTAGGTTATTGACACGGTATACCCGTAGTATTTGACGTATGTATTTGTTTTCGATCTCTTATCGATATTTAATTAGAAATCACATAAATAGGAGTAAACTATTGCGTTCTAATCAAGCGTGTGTTATATTTCTATGATTTGCAGTAATTGAATATTTTAATAGTTACGAATTTATACGTTGAATTAGTTCTACTCGTAAGTAGAACACCTTGTAAATGCTATTTATCAAAATGTATTGACAATTTGAAATAACATTGGTTTCGTATGGAGCACGAAGAACGAGTAGTACGTTGTATGTACGTAGTGTTAATAGAATTAAAAAGCATTAAGCTCAGTCTTTTTACAATGTTTTCCTAGTCTGTCAAATATACTGACATAGATATCTAAGGTGCTTAGATATTAATTATCCAACAGATATTTGTATTGCCCAGCAGAAAAGCGTTTCTAAGGTAATGAAGCGTATCAACTAAATGTTTAACTCAAATGACAACAATAATAAGGAATTAAAACGTATAATAAAACACTATTTTGACCGGATTGAAGTTATGTATTATTATAAATACACATACAAATTTTAAATTTTCCGACGTTCAGCGTGCTTTACAGCGTTCGTGGTCACGGTGACCACACACGCATGACTGTAAACTTTTTATTAAATGAATAGTATGTTAAAAGGAAAGTTATGTTAATCAAAGACAATACTATGAATTAAAACGTATTTGATTTTGACATACAAAAACGGAGTGGAGTCAAAACGCTTAGTCTCAGAATCTCACATTTAGTGCCCGTGACATGTGCAATGTGCATAGCTAAAATACCCAACCCAACTATGATAGCTAAATATAAGATACACCAGGGCAGCACCCTTTGATAAGTTAATTGCTTTCCCGTGCGACGTTTAATTGCCTGACAATATAAGTAACGATATAGATAATTTCTAGTGTCTAACAAGAGAATATTCGAGACAAAGAACGAAGTGATTGTTGCCATGTCCAATAATTGACCAAGCCGGTTTTATGACTAAATTTTGCTAGCATTATAAAGTTTCACGGAATGATCTGGAATTTATTAAAAAGCCTAAACTTTTGACGTGATAAAGCGACCAACAATATAGGAAAGTCAGAAATCAAGCTACATTACGCACCCATTCATAAATTTTTTATCGAAATCTTTCCAAGAATCGTTCACTCCAAAAAATGTGTCCAAAATTATAATGCTTCATAAAATATTTATGGTAGTAGAAAAAATTTGGGCGCATATTATAAAGAATAAGCAACTCAGGGAAAATGAAAAGCAGAGTATAAATGATGTGAATGATGTCATACAATGATCATACGATTATAGATAACCCTAACATATGTTATAATCTCGGTTATTCTTGCGTAGTCATTTGTTTTTCTTGCTTTATGATATTTTTAATACGACAATTCTGGCATACAATTGGGTATTTCTATTTGGGATAATTTCCGAAGGCAAAAGGTCTACTTGTTATTTTGATTAATTGAAAGCGTAGTTGTATAACCTATTCAACAATATATAATGGGTTAATTAGAGATTACAAAATGCATGATCATTAACAAGATAAGTAAATACTGAGGAGTGAAATAAATAGAAAGGATTCATTAAAACCTTTAAATAAATAAATAGAAATATAACTGAATGGGCAGCATCAGCAGCAGGTGAGTCATTTCATAAGCAGCTCTTACTCTGTACCTTTCAGTAGCGTTACCGATAGCGCCCAAAGTCACAACTTCAGCGCTACGAATAATAAGAGAACTACATAGAACTTGCATACAAAAACGTCGGAATCAACATGACTGTTACTATTGGAAGAAATTGAGTGAGGACGCAGATCTTAATAATTAAGGGTACTCTCACATCCATTGTTCATGTCAGCATGTATGAAAGCTATGATTTACTTTTCTTGTGAACTTATAAAACAAAAAAACATTTTTAATTTAATAAAATCAAAAATACCCTATATCTATATATATTTTTACGGCCAGACATGATTTCAAGTAGTGAATAAAAAGTTATCTTAAAAGAAAGGTCAGCAAAAAATATTATTTAATAATTGTACTTATGTATTATAATAAAAATCGCGGAATATTTTCACGAGTCGATAACCTTAAGCGAATACTTTCAGTGATAAAACGAATTATTTCGAACGTAATTTTTACGTATAGTGAAATATGGAAAGCTTATTGAGTTCATATTGTCTATAGTAGTTTGTTGTTTTTATCTTACTGTTTGTCGTAATGTTTTCGTTTAAATTTTTTGTATTAATTGTATTTGTTTTTAACTCTAGTTAGTAAGGAATTTAAATTATGTACTCTGGTGGTTATTTATTATTATATTTTAAGCAATAAAAAAGGTAAGGTAAATAATATTTAAATTGCAACTTAGGAACATATCTTACTTCCAATTAATTCCCTCATTTTATTTGTCACTTCTGAATGACAAATAAATAAAACAAATAATATATAACAAAACTTACCAACATATTTAATTCCCTCTGACTTTAACCCGTCAACCGCCCTTTGCAGCACCTGCTCTTTGACGTCAGCCAGCTGTTCGGGAGTTATAAGGGGGCAGGGACAATATGCTCCCATGCCGCCTGTGTTGGGACCTGTATCACCATCCCCTATACGTTTGTGGTCTTGAGCTGGTGGCATCATGGCTACGGTTTCGCCGTCTGTGAAGGCTAGCACCTGAAATAGGGAATACAATTTTTTTGAAGTTTAAGGCTTTATAGAAATTTAAAAGAAAATTCATTTTATAATTGTAAAAATGTGACAGATATTTAAATTAAAAATATAATGCTTAAAAATATAACACTTTTTCAGTCATTTTTATTATATTTATATTTTTTTTCCCAATTTTTATTTAATTTTAATTATTTTTATTATATTTATGTTTTTTTATATATTATGTTAAAGTTAAATCAAGCTCGTCTAAGATAATGCTGCATTTTGCTAAATAAGTAGTATTGAATTGAACTAGCAACTAGCTTTGGTTTTTACCTAAATTATAACATGCTTACACTGTTATCACAACAGTTTGTTTACCACGAAACTAATTATTAATAATTTTACTTTCTAGGCATGTAGTTTTGATTTTTAACATAGGTTTTTCTAGGCATGTAGTTTTGATTTTTAATGGGAAACGATTTCTAAAAATATATCGTAGTAACAAAACAAGTAAACAACTAAACATTTTTTTCACTAATTAGTTTCATTATCTTATTTAGCCCCCAATACATACAGATTACAGTTTGACCTCCTTTATCTATATTATTTTTGTGACCCATACGTAATCGTACACGGCGTAACATCATATGTTTTTGCGATCAATCCATATTTCAAAATTGAAACATCTTGGCAAACTTTCAAGTTTAATTAAGGTAAGATATTCTTTAAACGGTGACACTATTATAGATATTATTTCTATACAACAATTGTTTCATACAATTATTAAAAAACTAATATTTGTTTTTATAAATTACATATATCAACTGTTTGTTTAAGAATATATTAATAATTTTAACATCGATACGTTGTCTAAAACGAAGGATAGGTTTAAATCGCCAACTTTTACTTCCTCTATAATTAAAATATTGTTTATGTTGTAATATTACGAAAAATAAGCACAATTTTACTACAATCATATAACGCAGGAACAATTCTTATGGTCTAGAATTTCTTTTCTCTCGAAAACCATATGAAACCTTACTAATAAGATCCGAATCGGAACCGGTTTAACCGCTACCTACGCAACCTGTTGGGAACAAACATTGCGTGTAACTCAGAGGTTCCAAGATGTCTTAGAAGGCTTAACGAATATGCCCCATACCTGTTGAGGTATATCTACGCAACCTGTATGCCATTACAAGACACAACACACAAACAAATGTTTTGCGACGAGTAACTCGTGTTAAGTTTATACTTATATAATTCAATAAATTATACTTAAAATACAGCTCCATTAGAACAAAATATAGACTAGTTTCGCAAGCACAGCTTCTGGGTAATAAAAGGTCGTTAAAAGAAAGTAGTATTTAATTTACCTCTTGAAAACACAAGATTAACTCATGACGATAAATGCAATCGTTTTCGTAATGCATGCTATGCGTGTCTTACTGCACATGTAATCTTTTTGCTTTATCGTTCAATGAATTATTTATATCGAATGAATGAGTTTTATTGAAAATTTTAAATTCAGAATATTCGCAAACAAGTGAAGGTGTTTAAAGCCATTTTGGCTTACGCTACTTAATGTTTATAAACATACATAGTATGTAATGTATTATAATTGTCTTTGGTGAGTTTTCTTTTGTTCTAAACAATATGATGAAGTATATTTTGCCTAATTATTTCTTTACATTTCATAAAATAATTATGCTATTTGAAAACTTGGATGTCATTAGGCTAAATATTTTATAAATGTGTATTTTATACTACACTATCAAAAGCCCTCACCGATACTTCATCGCCTTCTAATAGCTCTTCAACTACAACAGTCTGGCCAGCAACTCCATATTTGGCATCCGTCAGAATCTCATCTACAGCTGCACAAGCTTCTTCCTTGCTTGACGCCACAACAACTCCCTTACCAGCAGCCAAACCAGATGCTTTGACCACCAGAGCTGGGTATGAAGCACTAGAAGTATTGATAAATCATTAAAAAAAAATGCATCTAACTCAAATGTATTTTATGTGAAAACAATTCCTTATATTTTGACTTACTTTTTAATAAATTCCTTAGCTGCATTTGCATCACTGAAGGACTGGTATCTAGCTGTGGGTATCTGGTACTTTGTCATAAACTTCTTGGCCCAATCTTTATTAGCTTCAATTTGGGCACCAGCTTTTGTGGGACCGAAACATTTGATGCCACGAGGAACCAGTGCGTCAACAATACCATTTGCTAGGGGATCTTCTGGTCCAATAACTACTAAATCAATATCCTTTTCTTTACACCATGTAGCAATAGCCTGTAATCGTAATCTATTATGATGTAAAGTATAATAAATAACTTTCATAGGACAGGCAAACAGATGTTTTTATTAACTTTTTTAACAAGTATGGTACTATATTTCTTAATGGAGATTTAGACAATCATCATTATTGCTTTAACAGAAATCACACCTTACTCTTTGAATGTACATCAAGATACCATCACAGTAGTTAAGCTCATGTTTAAGTACATAATTTACTTTACAGAAGGATGATAACTATATATGTAACTACCAATACTAATAGAAATGATAACAAGAAACATACTGCTTATATTTTTCACAAAAATACTAATTTTATCAAATTAATGAAATATTTATTTATGTTTGTACCTATTAAGTTTATTGTTATAAAGTAAGCAAAATTTTACATGGCAACAATTATTATTTAGTTACATTATCTTAGAGTGTTGGTTCAAAGTTTATCTTTTATTTGATGAGTACTTAGCATAAGAATGTTTTACAAATTATATATGTTTATTTTTTTAAATATTTAAGTTGTATCAGGACTAATTTTCTTAATATAAATTCTTATTTTTTATGACAAGCTGTGCCCCTCAATTTTAATAGCATTCATTTGAGGAATAATCTACTGGTGGAAGTATCCAATACCTTCCTCAATAAATTTACTATAAAACATTATTATTGCAATACCAACCAATACTTCCTGAGATGAGTGTGTTCAAACAAACACACACTTCTACTAATAATAACATTTGGTACTTAGTCACAAACAATCAAAATATTTTTGGCCATGTATATAATTATAAAAATGTATTAATTTTTACTGAGAATAAAAAACTGAGTGTTTTTTTTTTAATAAAACCTATTAGAACAATTACAATCTAGATTTTAGAATATCCAGTTAAGCAGTAAACATTGAAAGTACAAAAAATATATATAAAACCTAAAACCTTTGGTATATAGAGAATACTTTACTATTTGGCTAGAAATTGTAGAATTTTCTGCACCATCAAAATTATATTTTTCACATGAATAACTTGTAAAAAATGGAGATAGCAGTCCCATAAGATACTCACAGGAAAATCTTTGAGACTAAGATCGACACTTTCCACTTTAATATTTGACGATATACCAACACTTCCTGGGGCACAGAATATATGTTTTACAAGAGGAGAATTAGATAGTTTCCAGCATAAGGCATGCTCGCGACCACCACTTCCAATAACGAGGACGTTTTTAGACATATTTATAAGATGTATTTTTTTTACGTAGTAATTCACTCTAACTAGAATATACAACTTCGTAAAATTACTTAAAACGTGTGACTATCAGTAAATGAATATTATGATATTTTATGAAAGTTAAAAACAAGTTGTAGTTCAGAGCGCATTAACAAATATGCGACTACTAATACAATTACAAGTCACAAAGACTAGAATATGATAGTATTATATGACAGGGTTACAACTTACAACCCAGCAACAGCTATTTTATATACATGAAATTATGCACAGACTAGAAACTACAAGATTGAGACTGCGAAGTGCGAACTGTCATGTCGTCAGTAAAACTCGAAACATCCTTAAAAGCAAAGCGTGGTAACCTGTTTCTAAATATAATATATGTGATATTTTTGTAATGTTTGTGTCTCAGCCAACTAGCTTAATAAGGCGCTTAATTAACAGTAAAGCCTTTTAACTAGCGGCCTCATGGCCATGTGTAATACCTTTTCAGAATCCCTATTAATTGCGCCAAAACTTGTAATACACAGGGGGGGGGGAAAAAGGGGGCCAAAAAAGTAGTTTTGTAGAAAGTCGAAAACTTTTTGTATGAAAATACAGTGTGTCGAAACTTTTCGTACAAATTTGTTTTGGTTGTTTTAAAAAAACTAATGTTAAGGAATCTTGACTAAGGCCCTAGTAATTTTTTAGAGTAATTTTTTTCACAGTGGGGGCCGAAGTAAACAAAAAGTTATGATTTGAAAAAAATTTATATCGTGTAACTTAATATTATCTTCAATACACTCAATAAACAACTTTAAATAAAATGTCTAACGCAAGAACTCATCAGTACCAATCTAGTGGATATTATGAAAAAGATACAGAATGTAGATTTATTCGAATTTTAATAAGAATTAGTAATAAAAGTAATTTTTCTTATAAAACGCAAAATAAATTATGACTCTGCAGGGGTTCAGCTTAGAGACCTCCCGTAGAACAATTTTTTGCAGCCGATGTCCTCATCTATCCTCGATTTGCGTTTGATCCACGACTTTTTGTCCACCCTGTATATATATATATTTATTGTCGTTTTAGTTTAGGGGCTGAAATCTGAACTTAAGTGATGAGTGGCTTCTCTATTCCATGGTAGATTTTTATTTATTATACTCTATGAAATAATTCAATATGGCGATTTTATACTTGTCATTTTACTGTGATGGTGATAATTGTTCGTTGCGTAGGAAATATCTCAATTAGTACATAATAAAATGGCAGATACAGGTCTTCGCATGAATTTTGCTGCATTGAAAAGGGCGGACCCATATGCAAAAGAAATAATAGATAGTGCGACGCACGTCGCACTTTACACTTTTGAAGAAAACGAATGGGAAAAAACCAACATTGAAGGTGCTTTGTTTGTGTACTCCAGAAATGGAGAGCCTTACCATAGTTTAGTAATTATGAACAGGTTGAATACTAGTAATTTAGTTGAGCCTGTATCAAAAGGTATTGAACTGCAGTTAAAAGAACCATTTCTTTTGTATAGAAATGCGAAGTGTCGTATTTATGGAATATGGTTTTATGATAAAGAGGAATGTGTAAGGGTAGCAACAAAACTGAATTCCTTGGTTAAAGATTCTATGAAGGGACCGAATGAAATTCCGCAACCAACAGCATACAGTGCACCACCACCCGCAAGTGCTCCTGTTGACATTTTTACTATGCTCAGTAAAGCGCAAGATGACTTCAATTCAAATAAGGGTGTGGTTTCGAATAAACCTGATTCAACAGTTCCTAGACCACCTGACATGACATCACAAAGTGTAATGGATTTCTTTGCCAAGGCTGGAAGTGGAGCAGCTGTACAAATGCCTTCTGTGTCATCCCTTCCATCTCCTGGTATATTTGGGCCACGGCCAAATGATGCTAGAGAGACACCTATGTTGCTGCAGCGGCTGATGAGCAACCCTGCTCATTCAGTTGAACATATTGAAAAACAACAAAGGTCTGTTACACCACAAGAAGGACATACAATGAATGGCAACAATTCTATAGATCCAATGATGAGTCAGACTGGATTTCAGTTAAAGTCAACACCAATGGATAAACAAAACCAGCTTAGGACACCAAAATTAAAAAAATTGCAGCATATTGAGGGTGATATTAATGGTCCTAACCCCCTGGAGAGTGAATTGAACTTAATGAATATATCATCTCCAAAGCCTTCATCCCCTCTAGCAACATATTTGACCCAATCAGAAATTGTTCATGTAACCCCTTACAATAGTGGTAAATTAGAGGATTTAGGGATGACTCCTATAATGAATCCTTTTCCTAATCAGCCCAAGCCTGCATTGATGCCACCAACAATGTTTACTGCTACTACAAGCTGTGAAGTTCAATCTTCACCAGAACATTTAACAAGGAATCAACTTCTTCAGGCTTTTAATTATTTACTTAAACATGACTCTGACTTTGTAAATAAGTTACATGAAGCTTATGTAAAATCTTTTTCAGAAAAAGCCTTTTCAGTTTCATAAAATATCTGACAAACTTATCAGGATACAATAATGTACAGTTGTAATTTGAAGATTGAATTCCCTAAAATGTTGTGTAGATCCATTAGTAATGTAGTAAATTGGTTGAACAATTTTTTAATAAGTTTAAACCCATCGACTGTGACACTGTACAGAATTAATTTTAGTATTGCAACATTTCAATTCGGACAAGTCATTATTAACAATGATGAAAAGTTTTTTGTGATATTATCATTTATTTACTGGCTTTATATAGTTAAGCAACAATGCAGATCTGTGCTTAGAAACCTCATATGTGACTTTAAAGTTGCATAACATATATTGTAACCAAGTGCATGTTTGGCACAATTAAACTGCTACAATTATTTGCTAGAGTAATTTCCCTAAGGAATTAAAATCCTTTGTTATATTTTAAAGTAAACCATATTTCTTTAATTCTAGCAACAAAACTATTATTTTGCTTTCTATTTTCTCCAATCATTTACAGTTGTGTGACATATTCTTCTTATAAATATAAGAAAACCTTTATAACATTTACTTTTCGTGACAATTGAAAAACTTCATTTATTTCTTAGATACTTGTTTTAGACATTTGAGTATTGTATTTTTCTAAATGAAAGTTTAAATTCATTTGATAAACTAGATAGAAATAATTATATTTGATAAACCAGATAAAAATATTTGAAACTATAGTTTTTCAGGCATCACTAGTTCTTTTTCCTATTTATTGGATAGGAATAAAATTTAGAATTCTCTACTTCTATTTACTTGATTCATTGGTATACTCTGAAACATTAGCAATGTGTCTTTTATGTAAAGGAGCATCTATAAAAATTATTTATTAGATTTTCATACTTTCCAGACTCATCTTTCCCGGCAATAAAATACCTTGAAGACATGACAGTTGAAATTTAATATTTTTGTATATGCTCTTAGATTAGATTTATAAAAAAATGCCCCAGTTTTTTAAAGTATATTATTTGCGAATACAATCTCAAATTAAATAGTTCCAAAGCAAAATTAGCTTTTTTTTTACTCACTTTTAGCAAAAGATTTACTTAGTAGATTTAAGCACCTTGGATTTTTTTACGTTTATAGTGCTTGAACATAAGGAAAAGAAAACAAATTTGGCATATATTCATTATTTGGTAATATATGAAATATCTTATGTATTTCTAATTCATAATGGGAAGTTGGTTTTATATGAAGGCAGTTACAAAATATGCAATTTAGACCATCTTTGTTTTTAAACAAAGTCATTTATCATTCTTGATTGATGATCTGATATATTCTCAAAATAAATAATATGGGTAGAATAAAATTTTAAGGTTTTAAATCGATCTTTAATTATGATACAAATAGCTTTGAACTTCAAACAACCAGTTGAGAAAATTAATAATTACTCCACTTGTCTACTTACAATGAAATGAAGCTATTTGACAGAATCAAAAATGGAAGTTATCCGATCAACCACAATATGTAACACATTAGCCTCTCGTAATTTAGTTTTTCTTAACGACATTGAAGATCATCAAATAGATTGAATTAAAAAGTGGGAGACTATAAGCCCTTTGTGGACACTGTCATTAAAAACATGAAATAAGCAATACCTTACTTAAGAGATTTTTTTTAATATAAAAAGAAAAGCAATAGAACATTACATATTATTAAAATATTGTGGTTGGGACAATTTCATAGGTTTCAGTACATAAAAGTTAAACTTTCAAACCTAAAAGGCAGTGGTCTCAGATACATATGTATCTAATATAATAAAAATTTTGTCAATTCACCAAACTTTTATGTATGAAACTGCTATATTTACAACATATGCCTATTCATAGCTTTATATTCATATAGCTACATTTGTAAGATTTCAGTTCTATCGCTAGTGTTAAAAATTTACCATCAACAGGTTCTCAACGGGCAAATTAATCTCACTTTTGTTACTCACCCTGTATATAACAGTGTTAATCGATATGCTATAGGAGAAATATTTACAAATTATTAAAAACTGGTTAACTACTTTTAGTGCAGATTACTTCACAGTTCATGTCAAGAAGTTCAAATTTACAGTTATCCTTGATAGCATAATTAGAAGACGTCTAATTATACGACGACTATTGGTTCGGACGCCTTCATCGGCATAAATGTGTTTCACCCTAGACTTTCACTGTGAACTCTCTCCTGCTACAAAGTATTGCAACACAAGTCTCGTTAATTATTACTCCACAAGTAGCCTTTATGACATACGCGTTTACGCAAAATAGTCTGCAAGGAAAGAAAGACTATGGTACTGGATATGAAAGAAATATAAACCGATATTGCATTCAAAACTCAACAAATTTTTCACAGAATACAAATGCATAACTAAATCTGCTTAAAAAGCGGTTTACAAATTTGTTACGGTATAGGAAAATATTAATACAATGTTATAAACCAAATATGGAAATTATATCAACACTGCAAAGGTTCGTTAATATAAAAAACCTAAATATTTATTATTAGGTACACTTATATTAAACTACAATGCTGGCCGACACTAATTGCTATAGAAACAAGAAAATTACTTTAAAATTAAAGTATATTTTCCTAAGTTCATTAGATATAAACTATTCATATATTTGGTTTGAACTGAACATTAGTGTATGATTTCAAATCTCATAATACAATTTAATTTCATAATCAATTGCTATAAATTTTAGCACCAGATTCCCTTAACTTCATTCAATTATTTAGTTTATTGGTTTAACATCCAGGCAAAAACAGTCGTAATTTAAAAATTAGTTTATTGGTCTATGGAACATTAAATTTACCTTCCATAAGAATAGTTGGTGTACTAGTGATAAATATTTTGCGAGAAGTATGACTCCTCAAAGGTCAGGATACCAAGCATGACCCTAGCGCAAACTTTTCGATGGTATCGTTATGTATTCAGTTCAGTTTTTGACAAAACGAATGCATTTGTTATAGTTTACATAAACGATCCAAAAACTCCGAGTTTCCGTTTGCTTCTTGAGGGGACATTCGTACATGGAAACTGCTAAGGGTACGAATCTCATACAACAACTTCCACAAAATTGTTTTAATCTGAAACTCCCTGGTATATTGAATGCCGTAACTCATAAGAGGGCACCGGCCCCTATAATATATTAGGAACAATAACCAAACAGTTAAGGTTTTATCATGTTACACTTTAGTTTATATTAATTGTAAGAGATTTGAAAACACTACTAATGATTTACCGATCCCCTTCTATTCTTTCACGTTTCAGACAATATAAAGGTAACAGACATTATAACATCTATGTCTATCAACAACGCTTTTTATAACCACGAAAAAGTAACCCTTCTCTCGGGTACCCTACTCATTGTATATTTGCAATAGGATATTAATGTTCCTATGAAAATTTAAGTAGTATTTTAAATTTAATGCCTTAAGTGCAATCTGTGGTTTGAGCTGTCAAGCTTATAGAATAAAATTTTAAAACAGTTCAAACTTTAGAAGACAACGGAGGTCATGTCATGACATGAAAGTTTGACAAAAAAGCGTTGTTAATGAAACGAAACTACTCAACTGATTCGGTTTACATTTGTACATAGTTTACGTAGTATACCACTATTGTCTTTATTCACGGCACACCATGACGCATGGAGACATACCTAACGTCGGACACATGTGAAATTTTCATAGAATTTTGACAGATGAACGAATTGGGGTGACACTTAGTCAAGACTAGTTAGTTTGTCTTTGAATTTTGGCCAGGGACAAAAAGTACAATTTGTATTTTTGATTCAGTGATTTTATTACTTTTGCATTATCGAGATTATTATTTTTAGCTCTTAACATCATAGTGCGCCTGTGATTTGCAACTTAGTTTAAGTGAAATGCCTCAATTTCCTAAAAACAAATCCATCTAAACTTCATTCTTAATTTAAGAAAACGCTTAAAATCCTTGATTAACTATAATTTTACATCAACAAATAACTTTATGAAATTCATATAAAAAAATTACTTTTCCTAAAGTATAAAGAATCGATAGATCTTTCAAAAGGCCTATAAAAAGTTTATCGTTAATCAAAGTAATAAGTATCTCAAAGATCGTCGATTTTTAATTGCGAGTATCTAAATCTATTTAATGTTAAAACCAATTTTGTTCTATTTTATTTTGTTATACAGATATTACAAAACTTATATGCTCAAAAAAGAGATAATATGGCATAACTACATTTATTGGGATTTATAGAATCATAATATCAGATAATTATTATTTAAACGAATAAATTTTTTAAGACAGTAAAATCAAAAGTCTGACAGCTAATAGTGAAATAATTATTTATTTAACTACCAGTTGAAGAATATCGCAATTAAAAATAGACAATAAAACATATATCCGTGCGTAATACCAAATTTCGCAGGATCCACACAATTTTTTTTGTCATGAATTCAAAAATCACTACTGATTTAAAAGCAGTCCGATACAAACTAAAAAAACTTAAAATATTGCCGTCTCATTCCATGTAGGTGAGTGATAAGAGACCTAAATCGACAAGGGTGTTTTTGAAACTACCCTCTTCTACAAACGTAGGAAAATTCAGTCCTATATTACACTAATCACTGTTTATTTAAAACAAAACTTAAAAAATTATTCCACTAGATTATTTCTATATGTATATTTGAATAGAAGCGCTGTAGGTTTCTAACAAGTGAAAAAAATAATAAATAGGTTCTGGAAGCGCATTCACTCCCTAAATTTGTACAAAACGCTAGTATCTGAAAAGAAAAAAAAATATTTTATAGAATATTTTTCAAAATGAGATGTAAATGAATGGCAAATTTGATTATCGTCACTTCTTTTCTTTCCATAAAAAACTGTTTCCTAATAAACAAAATATTTTGTGTTCGAAACAAAATTATTTTATTTTAAATACAATAGAAGTCTTTTAATCGAAATATCAAAATATAAACTGTATTTCTTTATTCTATGGTAAATTTAAAAGTAATCCCTTCCATCTCCTCCCATCAATCTAATCCATCGAAAACTTTTCTGAAAGTGAATAATTAGTATAAACTATGGAAATTCTATTAAAATTCTACTAATAAAACATTACTCACCGAGCAGGTGCTACCATAGGCGGTGTAAGTGCAGGTTTCTCGACAGCACTGAGCGCACGTCATGCGTGAAGCGCAGCGCGTCGAGAACTGGCAAAAGATTCAACAGCGCCACGTCCAGGGGGTCCGAGAACCACGACTTTATTGGGATCGCGTTATCTAAAAAAATATTGATGTAATTGTTAGACCTAATATATAGTAATCAATACAAAATGTATACATACCTAAAATAATGCGAAAAATATAATATCAACACATCACTATTAGTAGAACATAAAATAAAATAAATATATTTCAAATTTTCTGTTATGAAAGAGCCAGTCACGCAATATAAGTATTGTGGAGCTGTTTCTATTGAAAATGTAAATAATTATAATACTATATTATACATTAGGGTTGAATTTTTAGTTGTAATGGTTTTTTGGTCCATTGTGTATGACTGATTAATCTAAGGCAAATCTTGTTACGAAAAACAACAAATCCAGAGTAAATCATAATCACCATAAACCAAAATTATACCATTCATTTTTCGCAAGAGACACTAAAACGTACCTGGAAAATCCCGATAAGCGCCGGGAGAATTGTCCAGAATGAATACCCTGTTAAGATCATCGCATATCGATGATAAGTTCTTTGTGTACGAGCCGTGTTCCGGCGTGCAATGTTGTCTGGAAATTATAAACATTTTTAATAAATATAACTAGCCAACAAGATAAAGAAATAAACAGTTCTGACTTAGAATCTACGATAATAGACTTGAGAATTTTCTTTCTATATGCATTAACACATACATTGAAAACAATAAACTCCAATTTGTAATTTGGTTATGTCTCCGTTGGTGTTGTATCATGTCGTTAGTTGAAAAGATACTTTATATAATCCTATCGATAGCCCGATCGCCTAGCGTTGATACACCTGTATCAGATACGCGTATCACTGGTATAATTTTGATATGTATCACGATACTGTATCGCGATACGATACTTGATACACCGCGAACCATCCTGTTCTTTTTATTAGATACACAACATATGGGTGACATGCGATAATTTTTTATTTTTGGTATCTGAAATTTTAAATCTCGGTGTTCCAGCGTGGTTGTTTCTAAACAATTCAGCGCCATCTACGTCTGGAAATTTTTAAACATTATTAATAAATATAACATAGCCACGCCAAACAGTGAGCAGACATGGCTAAACCGTTTGGGAACGAAGACAAGACTAAAATTACGAAATAAAACAGTTCTGACTTAGAATCTAAAGCCGATACACTGACAGTACTGACAGCATTTGAGAAAGCGTTTTTTACAAGATACGCCTTAAATATACGACATGGACAAAATGAGCGTCCATATTTATGTTACAGATACTAGATACGATACGACTGATCGTGATACGTCAACATGCTACAAATGTGGACCCGCTTTAAACATCGTGCATGTTTTAGACGCAAAAATCAACAACGTTTGTAATGCATAGTCACACGCCAAATATGTTAAATAAAACAGATATCGAAAATTGCAGTTGAGAACCATGAATGGTTATAACGCTAGAGTATTATTATTTATTATATGATACTGTGGTTAGATACAGATATAAGTTCGGAAGGCGAAGTAATTTGGTACGTATTTTCGCGTTCCATAACTCAATTACCTTCATATTTCAAGAACCATCTAAGTTACCATGAAATTTGAATTTTTGAACAAGTTTGTAACTCGAGATAAGCTTAATATGATATAGTTCTTCTAGATTCTGAGAATCCTAACATCGCAAATATACCAATTTGACAAAACTAAACGATCTATTAAATACAAATAATTTGACCATGTTCGTATGGATTAAACGGTATTGCTTTAATTTAAAGCCTCCCAAATATTAATAAGCTTTAGGGTCTGTTTCACAATGTACAGATAAGTTCTAAATTAGCTACTTATTACTTATTAGTATTAGTAGGATAAAAACTATTGTTACGTTTCACGACTGTCAGATAGCGCTATTCGTCACATAAAGTCCATCATAAGTTATGAGTCCGATGAATGTCAAATAGCACAATTTATCTTTAATCATTTTCAAATAATTTATGTGTTACAAAGCTATTTGGTACTTTATACATACATTGTGATGGACTGGGAATTTGTATGAAAAATATTTTTTAGATATCAACCAAACAAATCATATTTATTTTAAACAATGATGAATTATATATATTCATTTACGCTGACGTAGAAAGAGAACGGAAATTAGTTAATACAAAAAGTAAAATGTAAAAAAAAATATCATTCAATTTCCGCATATAATGTCATTATCATTTCTATCGTCCTTATCACAATACAGCAACAACATTTATTGCTCACTGCAACTGTGATAGAATAATTACAATAAAAATAATCAATAAATACCTATGTGATAGTAAATTGCAATTGCCGTGAGAATGTCGATCAATTTTTTTCTTTGTTTGCGTTATTTAATTAAATAGACCACGAAATTCACTTTTATTATAAATAACTATCTGATTCACGTAGCTTTTATAAAAAGGTTGTTTCTATAGAGCAATTTAGGATTAGCGAATTACAATTTACATTTATTTCTAATAACATAATTCAATAAATGAAATAATTCTAAAAATATATTAAAGAAAGAAACAATACAATGACGTATGACCCTGCTTTATATAATTAATAGTATAGTTACCTGTAAAACCGCCGCCGGAGAATTCCCCGTCCGTTGTCCAATTTGTCGGCAACAGCAGCGCCATATATCTCCATAGACGCCGTGAACACTACCAGCTCGTACCATTGTGACACCTATAGAATATGAAGATATACATCACAATTCATTTAACAATGCCCAAATTAATTGGATATATGAAGATATACATGGTATAATGTGTAACATAATGATTAATTTTATAAAACACGACAATATGTAAAAACATTGTATGTCTTTGAAAAGTTTTGGTATGTATTTGGATGGAAAACTTATGTAGTGTGAACATGCATTGTTTATATAGAATACTGTTCTTTTGTCTTATAGAAGATATTGTGAATCTATGTTAATAGCTCATGCACTAGACATAGGTGTATAATCAAGAGAACTTACTATATCCAAGAAGTAGTCAACATGTGGCCTTTTGTGAACAAAAAATCTAACTGGATGCTTATCTATAGTAACTTTGAGTACAAAATCAGGTGGGGTGCCAGGCTTTACTGTTGGCCGCAGCATTGCATCATGATGAGAGTGTATTAAGGTCTCATCCAAGTCCAGTACCAACATTTTTCTTTTGACTAAACCTGAAAAATGTATGAGTATTTAATGCTACCACTTCATATTTCCTATGATAATGAAATTATTTACTCTAAAAAAGTAAAACTACTAGTAGACTATACAAAACAAACATTTTTATTTTTGTATATTTATACTAAAAATGTAATTTATTTGTGGAAACTAATTAATTATTCAATCCTACTAAGACATGCTAAAACAATACTACACAATGCTATGCAAAGTTTAGTTGGTCAACTTGGACCATTGATAGAGAGAGGATAAATGCCATTTAGTCAATAAAATATTATATAGAATATAACTATAATATTGTATACTATAAAATAATATAAAAACACTTCTACTGCTATTGTTTGCAGTTTTGTCAAAATTACTATTAAATATAATTCCAAACATTGGATTTATTATTGAAGAAAGAAATCAATTATAATTTAAAGTATTCTCATATAAATAATAAACTTAAAGCAAAAAAAGAAATAAATGGAACAACTCCAAGCTGTTGTTTTTATAATAGTTTGTAGTACATCAGATTTATAACCACTTTGTGTTTAGCTGAATGAATTGTTTCTATTAGTTGTTATAGTTTATAAAAAATCATCTGACATACAATAAGGAAGCAATTTAGAAGTTCACACCTTAATCTTATCTACTTTAAAGTTTATCAATTTATGACATCAGAAATATTTCTTTTTCAAGCAACTAATCTCAGCCTCATTGCCTGATTAAATATTTTGTAATTAGGAAAGAAAGTAATGTTGTAAGGAGAGCTGGTTTGGTGCCTAGTTTGTTTCTATGGCTATGTTACTAAGGGTATAAGGTGCATATAATAAAGTGATAATGTTTCACCCTATGAAAGTGGATCTTTCGAGGGCAACTGCTATTGATATGGGGAATGATAATAATATCAAATGTACGAAATACTTACTCAGCCTGTGTCTAGATACTGGAGAAAGTGGGTATATCTCATATTTGACAGATTGATATTGAGCCAACTGAAAATTTAAACACCACGTGAGATACAAAACACGTAATTATCATTAAACGCACGATTTGAAGCACAATTAGATTATATTTACCGCTCGATACTGCTTTCTAAACATGTAACAAAAACAACTCCATACTTTAGAGGCGAGGAGCATGAACGCGCGAAGGCCCATTTGCAATTGTTTCAGCATTTGAATAGTTTACGAAATATTTTTTTTTTTTATAAGTAACGCTGACATTTATATGCAGCGAAACATGCGAGATCATTGACAGAGAAATTCAAAACAAATTCAAGGAAATTCAATGCCGAAAACATCTAACCCGCCATGACATAATCGACCCAAGTCATATACCATTGACAAAATGAAATAAGAATATTTCATTTGTCGGTTGTCCACATATCTTTTTGTCTATGGTACAGTGATGTCAAGATTCAAGAAAATATGTTTTAGTTTTCAACCAGCGCTATAAGGTATTTTTTACATTCATCATCATTATACATCCATCATTAGAACACTAGATATACAATTTATTATAATAATTGAGCAATGTACTTCATTGATGCTTTTTCTGGATTACTTGAAATTAAAATCCTCATTTATTGACAATGTGATTTTTGATAATTGACAAACAATATATTTAAAAAAAAAAAACTTCTGACACTTCCTAAATTCATTTTGGGGGCGGATACATCATACATATTACATACGATCAAAGAAAGTACTTTTTAATTTATTTCGTTAGGTGGCCTACAATGACTGTTTTTTTCTGTATACACTGATGCTATAGAAGTTAGAAATTAAAATTTATCTAGTTACAATCACAAATCGTAAGTATATTAAATCTATTAATTTCACCGACTAACTGTATGTAGGATTTCGTTAGCCATATCTTGCTTATTGATTGCCAAGTGCTTCTTGGCTGGTATACTTAGGCTGTATATGTAAGTACTATTGTTTTATGGTTCCAGCCCTTGAAGATGATCGGGGGATTATTCGTGTATAATCACAAGGGGGAGGTGCTGATATCGAGAGTGTACAGGGATGATATTGGGCGTAATGCAGTCGATGCATTTAGGGTGAATGTGATTCACGCAAGACAGCAAGTGCGATCTCCTGTTACGAACATTGCACGTACTTCGTTTTTCCACATAAAAGTAAGTTTATTCTACCTGAGAAGGTAAATGAAAAAAAAAAACCAGCTTTATGTAATATATTAAAGATATTATTTAATAATAGTTATAATAGGTATTCCTTCCATTCATTTTAGAGAGCAAACATCTGGTTAGCTGCAGTTACAAAGCAAAATGTGAATGCCGCGATGGTATTTGAGTTTCTGCTGAAGATTATTGATGTTATGCAGTCATACTTTGGCAAGATTTCTGAAGAGAACATTAAAAACAACTTTGTCCTCATCTATGAATTACTTGATGGTAAACACATTGTTAACAATCAAAATAAGGCTAATTATTTTAAAAGCATTATTTGTATTAATGGCAATTATTTTTCTACATTATATTGTAGGTAGAATTGACTGTCATAAAAGTTTATGGAGTATTTAAATAGGGTAAGATGCCGGGTCGAGACATAGTGCTGACTAGTATAACTCTTGTATGTAAAAAAACAAATTGAAATACCGGTAGAATACATTTAAATTATAATTTTCAATGGTACTTTCTTTATCAGGATAAAATATTATTAAAGAGATTTCAAAACAAAAAAAATATATATTGTAAATAATCACTGCTTCTACAAGTATGTTACCTATGTACAATATGTACTAAATAAGATGGAATATTATTATTACAGAAATCCTTGATTTTGGATATCCTCAGAATTCAGATACAGGAGTGCTGAAGACATTTATAACTCAACAAGGGATAAAATCAGCTTCCAAAGAGGAACAGGCCCAAATTACTTCCCAGGTAATTTTTTTTTTGTTTTTCATATAGCATATTTTTTTTTTTAAAGACAAAATTATATGACAGTGAACTATTAATAGCTAGCTATAAAGTTTCTCATTCTGTTATAGGTCACTGGACAGATAGGTTGGCGAAGAGAAGGCATCAAGTACAGGAGAAATGAACTCTTCCTTGATGTACTGGAATATGTTAATTTGCTAATGTCCCCACAAGGTAACTTTAACTAATGTAAAGATATAAATTTTTAAACGCAAAATTTTAATAGTTAGCATTATTTGTAAGGTATTGAATGTTAGCTTAATAAATGTATTTAACAGTGATTTATCACTTTTACACAAAACTTTGGAGTTTATTCTAACAGCATAGCATTAAATTACAGGTCAAGTGTTATCTGCCCATGTAGCGGGAAAGGTAGTAATGAAATCCTACCTATCTGGTATGCCTGAGTGCAAGTTTGGTATTAACGACAAAATTGTTATGGAAGCCAAAGGAAAAGGGAATGGTGAGTGGGTTTTTGTTAATGTAGAATATACTTCTTATGATATTAAAATGAAAAAATATACATTTATACAAACTTAAGAATCAATAACAAGTGTGTCTGTTGTGTCATATTAAGCAGATGCTGTACTATTTTCATATAATTAGTTTATGTATTTCAATTTTAATAATTATATTTTCATCAGGTATCAAATGAATTAAGCTATATTTTTGACAAACTTATTTATTATTATTCAATCACAGACTGTTGACCTACATTTTCTGTTGTTATGTTATTTATTTTTTTTTAAATATTTTATCTCTAATTTAAAATGCCCAATGTATGTGTAATACATATAGTAAATTAGTTTAGATGAAATAAAGCTAAAATTGTTATTCTGCTTGTAACTAATCAATTTTTTTTTCTACTGATACATTTTCAGGAGGTATATCCGGTAACACGGACAGTGAGGGAGCCAGGTCTGGCAAGCCAGTGGTGGTAATTGATGACTGCCAATTCCATCAGTGTGTCAAACTAAGCAAGTTTGAAACAGAACATTCAATTTCTTTTATACCACCTGATGGAGAATTTGAGCTTATGAGGTTAGTATCGGTATATTAGGCTGTATGAAAATGTATTTTACGGAATACTTGATATTTATGAAATTATTTAAGTATAGATGAAAGTCAAAATGATTACTTGCTAGACTATAAGATAATGTGGAGCACCAATTTGTAAAATTTTTTTTACTAGTTTATTAAAAAAATACTTGTTTAGGTGTGCACATGTGCAGCTACCTAGTTATGGAGTGTGTAGGAAATCAATCAGTAGCTAATATTTCATTGCTCGCGCGAAGAACGACCGGCGCTACCAATTGTACGCCATACACTGTCGCTATACACAATGTGTGGTATACATAAACCCCTACACGTGCTTTGAAGAATAAGTAACACTTCTTGTGACAAACAGCATTAACCAAATGCTTGTGGTTTATGAATTCAACTTATTGGCTTGTTGTTTACCCTTGTTGTTAATAAATATAAAAATAAATACTAATTGTAAATAAAAAAAGGGGTTAGTTAGTAATATAGATTAAAAAACAAATATTGTTTCAGATACCGAACCACAAAAGACATATCACTGCCATTCCGAGTGATTCCTTTAGTCCGAGAGGTAGGACGTACTAAGATGGAGGTGAAAGTTGTCCTCAAGTCTAATTTCAAGCCATCTCTCCTTGGACAGAAGATTGAAGTGAAGATCCCAACACCGCTTAATACAAGTGGAGTGCAGTTGATTTGTTTAAAAGGCAAAGCCAAATATAAATCGTCAGAGAATGCTATTGTATGGAAGTGAGTAATTTATTATTGTTCTATTTCCCATGATTTTCAAGTTTAATAGAAATCTGTTAATTTATTTGATTGTTCATTGCTCGAGAACTAAGTAAGAAGTAACGATAGCTACGAAAAGACAGCTGTGTTTTTACTTTTTATACAAGAAAATCTAAATTCCTATATTGATAGTTCCAAGTATAACTTATACTAATTTAGGTATAACGGATATTTTATAGCCAACTTGAGAATAGTTACATCAGGTATAAAGTACAGATTTTTTTATTTAACTGTTTAAATGAATAGCGGGACAATTGAAAAAATAGCGACATATTCAACGTTGCTTAGTTGATAGAGCTTATCAAAGTTTATTTAGATAAAACATAAAAATATCAAAGGCAGAAATGCAGAACTTAGTTAAGCTTGAAAAAAAAAGTCCAAGCTTGAAATTAGTTGTTGTCTTCTAGAATAAATGTGCTCTAAATGGGTTCTATGTAGTTATAAAACTGAGCTGTCGAAGTATGTAGTAAGTAAATATACTGCTCAAAACAATTAGCGGACCAAGATTTTTCTCCTTTCTATTGCTTAAACTAAAATTAGATTTAAATTAACTTGTACGCTATTTTTTACCTTGTTAATTTGTTAATTACTACAATTAATAAAAAAATTCAAAATGTGCATTGTAGACGAAAAACTAATTGGTGATAAAAAAGGTCCATCAAAGAAATATTCTTATATCGTTTGAATATTCGTCTTTAGTGACTTTCAGTAACGTGTGTGGCCTCCATGAGCCCTAATCACGGCTTGACAACGACGCGGCATGCTTCGTATGATGCTCCGAATATCTTCTTGTGGAATTCGCTCCCATTCTTCAATCAACGCTTCAGTGAGCTGCTGCAGTGTTTGAGGTGCAATCGGACGCTTCCGGATGCGCCTGTCAAGCAAGTCCCAAATGTGTTCAATTGGATTTAGGTCAGCGCTCATGGAAGGCCACTCCATTACACGGATTTCCTGCTGTCGTAAGTAATCTGACGTGATGGCTACAGTATGCGGCCTGGCATTATCTTGCATTAAAAGAAAATCTGGGCCCATACCATATGCTGCGGGCCAAACATGATCTTCGAGCACATTTTCAATGTAAGTTTGAGCACACAAGCGCCCGGGAACAACGACGAGATCTGTGCGCTCGTCCAAACTAACTCCGCCCCAAACCATCACAGAGCCACATCCAAATTTGTCATATTCCTGGACTGCTGCTGCACTGTATCGCTCGCCTGGGCGTCTGTAAACACGGAGACGACCATCGCAACGTGTTAGACGGAATCGTGATTCGTCAGTAAAAAGCACTGGCCTCCAATGTCGAAGTTGCCAATTATCGTGATTTTGCGCGAACTGTCGGCGAGCTTGTCTATGTTGAATTGTTAGACGCACAGCCCGAACTGGTCGGCGTGATCTCAAATTGGCTTCCAACAACCTATTTCTTACCGTCTGGTCGGAAATTTCTACACCAGTAGCCGTCCTTAGTGTATTTTGTAGATCTCTTGCAGTTGTGGTGCGGTTGCGTAAAACACAGTTGACGATGTAGCGATCTTGCAAACGTGTAGTTTTTCTCTTTCGACCTTGACCACGCCTTCGTGAGTATTCTCCCGTCTCACGGTATCGCTTCCAAAGTCTGTAGATAACAGAAGGGGCTACTCCTAGATCATTTCCTACATAACGCATAGTTCGACCCTCTTCAAGCAAAGCGATAGCTCGGGAGACATGCAATTCAGTCAGATCTGGCATTATGACCTAAACTCACTCGCTTCAATGAATAACAATACTCAAAAGGCTCACTTCAATTTCTATTAATACTCAAAAGATTGAAAAAAACTACTTAAAATGTGTTTTCTGTGATTAGAAAGTAATGAAAATTCAAAGACGTCACTTTGTTTTTCGTCTACAATGCACATTTTAATTTTTTTTAAATAAAAAAAATACAAATTGATTTTTTTTATTAATTGTAGTAATTAACAAATTAACAAGGTAAAAAATAGCGTACAAGTTAATTTAAATCTAATTTTAGTTTAAGCAATAGAAAGGAGAAAAATCTTGTTCCGCTAATTGTTTTGAGCAGTATATTTGCTTAGTCGACGAATCTTTGTTTTTATATTATTGATTAAATATATAATTTTTCTACCAAAATGTTCTTCCTAAAAACTTACTAAGCTACGTCAAGTCTAGACTCAACAAACTAATATATTTTAAGGATCAAGCGCATGGCTGGGATGAAAGAGACTCAGCTCTCAGCTGAGATAGAGTTACTAGAGACCGATACTAAGAAGAAATGGACCCGCCCGCCTATTTCCATGGGCTTTGAAGTGCCATTCGCTCCTTCTGGATTCAAGGTAATGATTTAATATTTAAAAACAATATATAAAGCCACTCAGTATGGTAGTTTAAATTTTGGTTGTGTTTTCTAAATTTATTTATTAAATTTGTTAAATATATCAAACACAAGTTTAATATCTTTCGTTCATTTTTATAAAAGGAGATTCATATTTTTATGCCAAAACATTTGTTTCCCAGTATAACAAATATACTATAAGCCTTGATTGGTGAAACAGTCTGTGTCGTTTAATTATTTGGAATGGCAAAAATGAGATTTACTCGCAGCTTTTGTTAATGTAATAATAATAATCCAGTGGCGCTACAGTGCTTGAATTTTTTGGCTTGATTATAGTTTTTTTGATTAATTTATTTGATTATAATTTTTTTAAAAGCTAGTTTTAATATTGAAAACACAAAAAAAAAAAAAAAAAAACAAACACAAATACAGTCACAAAATCTTGCCTTAACACTTGGATTTACACTAAATCCACGGAGCTGATGTCTCTACAAAAATATTATTTTAGGTCCGTTACTTGAAAGTGTACGAATCAAAGTTGAACTACTCCGACCACGACGTGATTAAATGGGTGCGGTACATTGGACGATCCGGGCTCTATGAAACAAGATGTTGAATATGTAAGCGTTCAACCTTGATATAATATTTTGTACTAATTATAGCTTTTATAATACAGCTTGAACCAACTAGAAACCAGGGCATACAAATGTAAATTTAGAAAAATATAACTTCAAAGTGTTAATGATAGTATCACATCCATTATTTTATTGTTATTTACCGGCATAATTAATATGAGAGATTTTATCTAGTTCCAAAAGTATCAAATACATACAGATCAAACGGATGACCCTTTTTTGGAGTCGGTTAGTCAAATATTGAATCTATTCTAGAATTTCTAGAGATAAGAATTTTTGAAAATGGCTTCGAATATACATATTTTATGAAGAAACGCGAACTAGAAGAAAGCGTATTTTATCTCTTCATAGACGCAATATATGCTGAAGCTTTTTAAACCGGTTTACCTATACATATCGAGGTTTATAAATCGTATATTTATTGTGATTTTTTTTTCAGGTTTCCGATACTCCAACAATAGCCCATTTCTGTACTGTTACAGAATTTATGAGATTTTTAGTATGAATTTTCTTTTATTGCTCATTGAAGGTATGCTGGAACATATTGGAAGAATAAAATGTATTAAAAATTAAGATGAATTAATGTATCGCTTAGATTAAACATTTTGAAATTCAAGTTTTTTGGAATCTCAATAAGAGTTTCGTATCATGTTTAAATAATTAAAATTTATTTTTAACTTATTTTTATTAGTTACTTGATTGTTTAAGTTACATAATATCATTCCCTCATAGATTTTATTTTGGACTTGTATCTTTAAATATCTGATTATTATATAACTATTATTATATATGTGAAAGGACGTACGCCATGCTATGTATTCTTGCTACGAGCCGTTACGTACTGTAAAATTGAGATGCTATCAACTGTTCTTAAGAAATATACGACTCATAGCAATAAGAATACCGCGAAGCCGTGGCATCTGTATATAAGTCCATATATCAAGATTATAATATATTACTTAGAGTTATTTAGAAATTGCGAATCACTTAGCGAAATTATGGTTACTGTTCTTTACACAGATTTCCTATGCATGTTGGATATGTTGAAATATTATTGATCGGCAATCTTTAATACAAGGTTTGCTATGAATATGAACTTTCTATTATGGCAATTTAAATATAAAAAATATCTCGCTTTGAAAAGTCTCTCATACAAAAGATATTTCATACAAAATTCCAAGATATTTAATTAAGTGTACAATTTTAGTCCTGAAACAAAAGACGCGTAAATTCGCATTTGAATATATTATGATTGCCGTTCGATAATGTAAGAAATAGATGTTTAAAGTTCAAGGTATGTAGAATATGTATGTTAGAGGAAGCTTGGTGTACCCAGTCTTACGTGTTATGTACAATAAACGTTTAAAAATATTTTATCTTTTATTACCTATATATCACTAAATTTCTCATTTAACCCCTTTAAATATCCTATACTGAAATAGAGGAATGATAATTCTTTGTTACTTTTAAAGTTCGGCGTTACACGTTTCACTACCACCCTGACTTTTCTAGCGAAACAATAATTGTTTCAGATTGAGAGGCACGGAGGGCCTTGGGTATGATGACAAATAAACAGAATATACATTGATATATAGTTATGCCAAGAGCAGGCTTATGATGTTGTTTAAAACTAAGCCTGAGATTTCTTAAGGCAGGTTTTTGCCGCGTACCACCAATGTGGAATCAGCTGCCCACTGAAGTATTTCCAATTCGACTTAGGGCTCTTCATGAAAAGAGCGTACCAATCCTTAAAAGGCATAACATCAGGTGAGCCTCCCACCAGTTTGCATCCTGTTCCATAAAAAAAGGGTGCGTGTACTTATGTACGCGCGTAAGAAGTTATATTTGTTTGGCATTATTAAAAATAGTATTTGCAAATAATTAAATACAAATAAATAATCAAAGACTGGAAAAGGAGTCATTGTAGTCAATAAAGTTCAGTTTACATTTGAAAATTTAAATAAATAAATATTTCTTAATATTATATTTATTATTATTTTCTAATATTAATTAGTATTGATTGAAATATTCAATTTAAATCACTTCTGATTATAATTCAGACGCACATATAAAATTCGCACTTGTATAATGAAAACACGTGTTTTAAATGTAGAAACTCAAAGCATGTGGATAAATATGACAAATATAAATACACAGTGAACAGAGGCGGCGTGCGTGCCAACATGCGCCACTAAGTTCATTCTGTTAATTTTGTGTCACGGTGCGCGCGCATCGTAAAATTTCACTATCATCAATTTTTCATAACGCGCCTAAAGAAGTATAACTTCAAAAATATAAGATTTTATAGAGTCGTTATTATAATTGATCAAACAATTTCTTGATTGTATTCAACGACCCTTTTAGGATTTATTATTTATAATATAATATGTTGACTCGAACTCTATATTAAACTAGTTATACCTCGCAATTTCACCCGCTTTAATTCCATCATACCTTGATGTGACATTGCCTATAAGCTATAGCGAATATCTTGGTCTATCCAACCCAAAATATTTTTCGCAAACCTGAATTACTTTAAGAACAAAGAAGATATCGTGTATACGACAAGTGCCCTGAACTTGTGCAAGACAAAAACAGCCTTCACTCGCACCCTAAATAATTAATCTAGCGGTCGCTTTGACGTTAAGACCCATCTACATTAAACATTTATAGTATTCAAATCTTCGGAATTAATATTTGGATATACCCAGATGTAGTGAGTTTGAATATAATAGCAGGATTGGAACAAATATAACCCTATTCATAATAACTTCTCCAATTCATAATTTAATAGACACGATCTTAGCTTAATCCACGTCTAAACTATATTATTTCGCACCATTTAATTACTAAAATTTAAGATTTTAGACTAAAGTAAAAAAGGGAAACTAAAACAGCTAATTTATAACTAAGCAATTCAAAATAAGGTTGAGTTATTCAGAATATTTAAGTCGTTAACTAAATTCGTAGCCTTCGTTGAGTTGGTTGGTGCTACGAAATAAAACTACAAAGCTTGTAAAATTAACATTTTAAGGAAATATTTTCTGTAACATTTATGGCGCTTAGAAATATAATGTCTGACTTCTATATTTTTTTGTAAAAAAAATAATATATATCGGCACATTATTAGATAGATATCCTGGTGAAGTTCTGGGGGGCTGGCTTCTATCCTAGAAACATTTGTTTCGACTCAACACCGCATAAAATTAATTGCATAATATAATCCAATACGGAGTCGGTTATTCGATAATTACAAGTACTTGATGACTTTCTATCTGTTAAATGAAAGACATCAAAATATTAAAAGTACATTGCAGAGTCTCCCTTAGATATCTTTCGTGTCCCTGAGCGGAAACTCTTGATTCTAGTTACTTTGTAAACACACATAAATTTACTCGACTATCTCTCAAATAATTAGTACGCATTCCCGAGCGGTTACGGGAAGTTAATTTTTAATTTAATTTCATCTTACAATGTTGATTAATATAATTCAAATACTCTTCTGAAAATATCAATATAATGCTCCTTTCATTTATTACAAATAAAACATAGTCCAGTATTCCTTATAGGTATAAAATATTTAAGAATAATAAGTCAAAGCTAGGTTAAACGCGAGGTCGTGCTAGAGAGTTTGTAAGAAAATATATTTTATTTAAAATTAATATTTTATTGGACCGTGGTTGTTAGGACTTATAGGTATGTTTATGTGACTTGAATCTAGACATAAGCAGTATTCGTGTGAATTCCTTCGTAAACTCAAAATCTATGACTTGTATTAAATTGAAATATAATCTAATGAAGCGAAGCTACACAACATACTAGGAAAAGGGACACAATATTTTGATTTATACAGCGGAATACTGCAAATCTGCAGCGCTATAGATGTCGTCAATTTTGCCGTCAAGTTGGCAGTTTGGGAGTTTGATCACGACGACCAAGCATTCGGATTGTCGAGTAATTTAAATCATGTATGTAATTCGCGGTTATATCTGTTAAAGAAGTTTAAATAAAAAGCTAATCGCATAAACGAAATACATAAGAATGCTTTCAATCAAAAAGTAATTTAAACTAGGTCTAAATCGGTTCCTATTTCGAAGTTCAAAGACAGACGAGAAAACAGAATTAAAATGAAATGGTAGAGAAGTAATTTGAGCTCAGTTGTTTGTCTTCCAACATTCAAATTAGACACGATAAAGTTTATTCCAGATATAATTTCAAGTAATTACCAAAATGTAATGATCTCTTTCATTTGAGATATTTTGACGTCTGAAACTAACGACAAATGACTGTTTACAATTATAGAGATAAATTGTTACACCGAAGGATATCATTGTGTATAAAATAATAAGTACAATTTACATCTAAAGGTGGGAACTGACCAAAGTTACGAGGTGTAATGTAGCATTCGCATCGAGCGTGTTACGCATCGAGCATGTTACGCTGTGTTTTAAAAATCGGCGTAACATGCTCGTCAAAACTCTGTGCTCCGCTTTCGCCGCCAGTGTTCAGGAGATGGCCGACAGCGAGGACGCGTTGGTATCTTTGATTCTACTTAATTATTGTTTCAACCAAATTAAGAAGAAGAAAAATCGTTACTGGACATCAAACTTATTTAAAAACAGAGGCGTATGCGGTGGTTTGTCATTGATAGCAATTTTAAAAAACCTAGATTACTAGATATCATAAGAATTTGGTACGCATGTCTTCGATAAATTTTGAAGAACTGTTGAATTTAATTCGACCAAAAGTACTTTAAAAAAAACACACATTTTTGATAATCATAATCATGATCACTCGCGACGTGCGACGCGTGCTGACTGAACCGCGTAACAGTCAAAGGATTCGCCGAAAAACCGACAGCCGGGTGGAGCACTCTAAGCGAACAACGAGCGGCTCATTGCTCGCTGGTTTCCCCGTAACACGACGTACTGACTGCACGAATGCTCGCTGTGTAACGTGTTACATTACACCTCGTAACTTT